CCACAAAAGGCTATTAACGTGACGCATTTTTGCTTTTTAGCAACCTAATCGGCCGAGCGCATCGGTGCGGGGGCACGCTCGCAAGTCCACCAGCACACACCCTCCTGCTGCTGCAATTCCCGCCTCCAGGGGCGAGGTCTTGACTTTCTCACCTGTTGCCGTCCCTTCAGGGGGACAAGCACCGGGTGTCCAATGCGCACCACACCCACTGCCACCACAGCAGCAGCCGCCGCCGCCGCCACCACCACAACCCTCGGTGACATTGGCCAGCCAGCCTACTGAATTTGCACCACCACCTCCACCACCACCAGCAGCAGCAGCAGCATCAGCAGTGACACCTGCTAATGCTGGGCATGAAGTTCTTCTAGTCGGAAAACGAGTTAGAACGATTGTCTATTGTGTGGCTCTGATTAGTCATCATCTAGCGCCTCTTCACTTTGTCACTAGGTCATTTCATGAAGTTCTTCATGTGATTCACACTGCTGTTGATGACCTACAACAGTCGTGGGTGGGGGCACCGGTAGCATTCACCAAACATGTCACAGGAAGTTTGGCTCAGTTTTCCAGGACCGATCACCTGCTTATCGATTTCCACATCCTAGGTTCTCTAACTCAATTTCGGTCCAGTAATCCTCGGACACATATCGCATTCACGTTTTACTGAAGCGTGCTTTGCTAATTGGTGTTGAGGCAATAGCAAAGCGTCTCAATCCTTCTATCACCGCGTGCTGCCACAGTTAATTAAAATTGCTCCCAATTTATTAACAACGTGTAATTCCTGTGTTAGTTCTTTTTTTAGCTTAAGGATAATACCAATTTCCTCACAACGGTGTAATTTATGCGTGGGTTACTTAGCGTTACATTACTCGCACTTTCGATTACCTTTTCTATTTTTTTACTAAAATGTGCTTGTACATATTGTTGGTAGGAAAGACTGGTTGGCGTACTTTAGCGTATAAAAAGTGCACCATAGTTTCCTAAAGTTGGTATGTTTTAGATGGGGAAAGTAACGTTTACCTGACTAGGTCAGTGATTTAGTACCGATGAAGATACGCGAAAACGGCCGTTTTATTTAAGTTTTAATTGCGGTGGCTTCTAAGCACTCGCGGTATCTCATAAATGTTAGTGGTCTATATCACGGGTAGAGCTAACAGAAATCTGACGACTAAATTAAGTAAGATTTTAGTAAAACTGTAAGATATGACAGTTCAACCAGAGGGCAAAATTTGAGTCCCGGGAAAAATGAGAATTTAATTGAAGTACTCAAACAGATTATCCCTCGCTCATCACGTATCTTCCCGTCAAATCCCAACACCAACCTAGGTTAATTAGGAGGGTTGTTGTAAATGCTTTCACTGGAATGTGGCGACATCCACGTCACAGGCCGGTTCGTCCTATTTGGTAGCGGCAGACTGACAATACATTAAAATTATCGGATTGAATTAGAAGTCTCGAATTCAAGCACAGGACTTGTTAAGTATAGGAATTTTATAAATATTATTGCTTTCTAGGGACCCTTCTAGTGACACCCAGCATCACTTTTTTATCGTTGCCAACGATGCCCATCTGAAGAGAAGACATGGTAGCACCCAAATTCCCAAAAAAATTCTTGTTCCGGTTGCATATTTGCAGCAACCGCCAATTGTTGTATGTCCGCTTGTAGCAAAATCAGAACGCCACGATGGTGGTCGCGCGCAAACTCAACGTTCAACGACCACCGCCTTCGACAGCCCCCAAGCCGACCCACCAGCGTCCCCTTCTGCCCCTGCCAACACCCAAGGTGCCCATCCCACCCCTACACTCCTCCGTCCCTGCTCTCCCCATCTCTCGAGCGTCGTATCCCTCACCTGCAACCTCCCTTCATGCTCTCCGTGCCTTTAGTCAGAACCAGGCACGCAGAGTCAGTAGGCGGCGCAGCTCTCTCGCTGTTACTCGCAAGAGGAAGTCTCCGATGGTTCCACAGAATCCTCCACCACCGTCTTCCTTGACCCCACAGCCATTTTCAAATGATACTCCTGAATCAACGGTACGTCCAGCCTCTGCGCTTGACTGTGCTTATTAGTTCGTCCCATATACTCGAATCAACGGCAGGACATTATGTGTTGGCTCCGCTGTGGCAAGCATTAAAGTCAGAACCATGCGTAATAATGTTGTGGATCCGTTAGACTCACTTTCAAAGTACACTTAACGAGGTCGTAAGTTGTACGCCTACATTGTGCAGTGGCAAAGGTTCAAATCCTAGTTGGTCGGTCAGAGATTCTTCCAAATTCCTCCTTTTAGCATCCACGACAGGCTGTAATGACTTGTCACTCGTTTTTACCATTTACCGGCACCATCAGAGTTCTACTACAAAGACCCAGTTGCAGCAATTTAGCATTGATCCCTGGGAAATCATTTCCGTTCGGCCCTCGTGATCCATGAGGCGATTTGGTCTTTTGGATCAAGATAAATAATTGCAATCGTATATTGTGTGGCGAGCCCTGTGATGCTCGTTGTGGCGTTTTTAAATCGATTTACGTCACATTAATGCCTTATCCCACTGAATATAAACTGGTCACTCTTGATAAATCGCTGTTATAGCTTACTGCTAGCATCGTAATAAAAAAAATGACTCGATAACCAGGGAGAGCGCTTCTATGTGTTGGCAGGCGCGCGCGTCCAGTAAACCATTCACGGATTATTCTCGCTTCGGTTAAAAGAGCCGCACTACGGTGCAGCTTCCTTTTATTTCACACTTTAAATGTTATTTTATTCACCCTGTAGATCCATCTTCGGGTAATTGTCACAGTTTCACACAGCTTTTGTTGATCCATCCCGTTGGATGCGTCTTGTTTAATTAGGCCCAACCAGCCTGATAGATTGAGGTGTCATTGAGTGAAGGTTTCGTGTTAATGTGAGATTGCTGAGTCTAAAGGTTGAGCACTAAATTTTGGCAGCCAAAAAACCCAGATGTCGACCCGTCCACCACCGGGCCCGAGATAGGCAAGTGGGTTGTGCTTCAATCGATCAGCGTTAGCCGTGCACCTTGTGACAGGCAAAAGTGCAATAGTACCCTCAGGACCCTCTTAAACTGTCCCTCGTACGGGTGTGCCATATGTTTGGTGTCGATGCGTGAGAACGCGAGCGAAGGTGACTCTCTGCGACCAGGCCACAAACCACTGCGGGGAGACGATCTGCCACTTCAAGGACGATGACGTTTATCACAAGCGGTATTGAAGCGGATTGCAATTGTGACACAGCGTCACCGGTGGTCTTGACATGCCACGATTTTGTCCTCAATTCCCCTGCAGATGCAAGCACTTTTTCGGCTTGGGGTTCGCGTCATACTCGCTTAAGTGGTACACCTGGTGTCGCCTAAACCTGTCATGGAAAGATTTAAGCTGGAAAATATGTAAGTTTGAGTCAAAACCAATATCCGAACAATGCCACGACTCCATGGTAAGGCCCTTTCACTAGTGCTCCGGTCGCAACAGTTAGCATCTGTTCGCGTAATTTTTTTACTCTAGATTGACATCACATCAGAGTTGCTGCAAAATACTGCACAATAAACGGAAGCTGAGGCCCCACATAATTGGTACCATTAGTTTAGGCCAGAAATGTAAGTCGAGGAATGTCTAGCGCAACAGCGACAAACGCGCTAAAATTACATTGTGCGGATTTTCTGTTTGATACTTGACCAAAATCTTGTTTATGCTTGTTTGCCTGCAACGTAATGTCCATTTATTATTTCCTAACTTTTTAAAGGTTTATTCAAGGAGTGTTTCGTGGAGTTTTGTTTGCTGTCTTCACAGATTGCTTGGACATGACTAGTTTAATTAGTCGGCGTCTTCGCGCACAGTCAACTACCGCTAATTAAAGGCGAGGGAATTTCGGGGACCCACGTACTTGGACGCATTGCTTGAGTCTGTCCACTAATTAGCGGGGTTTGCTTGTTTGAGCTCACTCCGCTGTCATCCTTCCCACTTTTTTGTGTGTCCTGAGCTCAGGGTCCTAGCAAATTATTTATTTTCGCCGGCTTAATCAGGGTGTGTGAATAATCAAGCAAGTACGAAAGTTGTTGTATGATTTGTACGTTTGTACTAACCTTCACTCCTAATTTCGATCAGGTTTCAGTGCTGTTCATCGGCCCACATTTTATTCGAACACAAAAAGCCTTGAGGATTTTTAATCAGTAACCAGTCCTTGTCTGTTCAACCGTCATGCTTGTTAACCCAGGCTGTATGATAATGCCTTGCTTTGAGACGCCGGGCACTTGAGGAGTTTCACGACGCACTGCGCAGAAGGTCCCGCCTGGCAATAAATGGAACAGTCTAGCGCTTTTTTTCAAATGCTTTTCGTCTTAAAACCCATTAAACTCCGCCACTTTAATGACTTACCTCTAAAAGGCTAATTAGGTTTGCGTGTACGCATGCCTCAGGAGGTCTACACCTACCAAACAGTTTCGTGTCTGGGTCTGCGTGAATCCTAGCGTCCCAATCTTCTCAATTATTTAACTAGCTTAGGGCTTGGTCATTGCAGACGAAGAATTGTCCTTTCCTTTAAACACTACAATTTCTCTTCGGTTTTTGTAGCTTAAAGCACGTGACTGATTTTCCAGCGAACCAAAGTCTTATGGGGATGTCGTTTAAACTGCTAAATGCTTATTTTGCTGATACAATGCTTGTGTCCAGATATACTAAGGACCCTAAAAGTACTCGTAACGCCTATATTTACTATAATGAGTAAGCCGTGTCACACGTTCTCTCGGAAAACGAGTTAGTTTAGGTGAGTGTTGATGCGTTATTGCTCGTGTGTCCGAAACTTGCTCAACGTTCTTCCATACCTTTTCTACCCTCGTGTCTGCCGTCGAAGCCGCCTACAACACGTTTCCGTACATACCAAAATGGGTGTGCCTGCGAACCACTGAAAAGCTAGGTTTTTTGCCTCATTTGGTCTGGCAGCGGCCCCGGTTTTACACCTAACTACACAAAGACACAACTTAAAAATGATCTACTTTGTATATTTGTCTAGTTAAAAGCCTCTCTCTTAAGAAATACCTTTGCGCAATACCACCTAAGATCCACTAATGCAGCACTCGTCGACGAATGATAACGCGTGTTATCATAAAACGTAAAGGCCGTATTGGTTCTTACACTTCCATTTTTTGGCGTTTAGACTTGCAGATTTTATGAAAAATCGCCTTTGATTTTCTTAATATTCATTCGGTTGACTTAAGTACGCTTGTTCAATACGAAAAATAGATTTTTTTAAATGCACACTCGACCCTTTACATTGTCCACCATTACCTACTGCTTGAAGATGCGTCTGAGTTTGTGCCAAAATGCCATTCAACAACCTCAAAGTGCGTCTTTTAAAATCGTAGAAGTGGAGTTGAAGGACTTGTGCGTTAAAAAGGTGGATTTCGGCGACAATCGGCACGTTTAAATCATCTTTGCAGTCGCAAGTTGGTTGTGAGAAGAGACTATTAGCTCACAAACTCGATTGAAGTAATTTTCTGGCCAGTAGCAATAAAACCTACCACCTTTGCATACACTGGCGATAATCCAGATTTATTTTCACAGATCCTCACCTATTTTTGGTTAAATGGAGTACTTACTGCGGTTGTGTTTTCCAATGCAGTTTTTTGCAACTCTCTCAGGCAACTTCCGTTCGTCCTTCTAGCTCATGCAGTTTTATTTCATTTGTAATCAAGTAATTAGGGCACTTTAGGTAACCGTTTTACCCCAACGGAAATTTAAACCCTGGAACCGAAAAAAACAGCTATCAGCCTGCACTCTTTTGTAGTTATAATCACAAAAAAAACAATTTGCACACAATTCCCATATTTTTTTTCTAGCCAACAACTGCCGCAAACGCCGATTCCGCGCAATTAGTTGCCGTCTCAGTGGCACCGTCGATGCCATCTCAGCCGAGTCAAGGCGAAATCAGTTTCCCATTTTCTCTGGACGGGTACTCCAACACCTCGACAAGCGATTCCCTCAAGTCCCTGCTCAATGCCTTCATGGCCAACGCACCACCAGGCATGGAACTGGTGACTCCGACAAAGGAGGCCCCCCAGCCCGCGTCTTTTCCCATGCCCTCCCCAGGCCTGCTCAACTTTGGCGCTGAGAGTCAAACTACTACAGATATGCCTCACCACGAGGACACCTCCTCCTCCTCCTTTTCGACATTCATCAATACCCTGGCGGCGCAGCAAACAACCACGCCGCATCCACCGGATGCCTCAATGTCAGATTCATTGGAGCGTGAGTGATGCCACTTTGTCTTCTGAAGCACACGACTCTTTTGTGTATGCAAAGGGCGTCTGCCCAATTTATTGGGACCACGAGCAACGTTTGAATAGGCGTGTAATTTCTGTCTAGCAATGTACCAATTCTCGACCGCACCTTTGTTTATTACCCAACAACCAGTGGGCACAAGATCATTTTTTAAATGCACATTCAATGTGGCAAAATTAGACCGTCATTGGCTGGTGCCGGGGTTAAAACCGTTCGCCTTGGGGCAGTATGTTCACAAGTTCTTACAAATTCCAGACCTGGTGTAAGGCCTATGAGTGGTCGTTTTGCACACGAGGTCGCCGAACCTGAAATTAACTCGTTCATTGTTGTTGTGTTAGGCAAAATATACCACGATATGCTGCAGACACCGGGAACGTCAACACTGGATCCGCCTACAAGTGACGCTCCCACTCTACTCCTAACCTCTTGCGCCGATGTCAAGTACGAGCCTGTCGACTCAAGTCAATCTGTAATTCACCAACAGGCACAGAACCATCAATTACTGAGCCAGGTTAGTTGGTTTCCGACAGGGAAGATATTGAATTCCATAAGCATATTCTACTTTTGAATGGTCCTTTTGGCTACCAATATTGACTTTCATAAACAATAAAGAGATCTGCGTGTAGGTACTTTTGTCGCAAACATGTGCATTGTTCTACTAGAATAAAAAAATGAGTTTTGGATATGCGGGCCACAACTCGGGCTTATTCAACCGGTGCTTGTTGATTGTGCGTGTAGACAAGGTACTCACATATTTGAAGCTGATAACTTTTGTGTTGGCACTTTGGACACATTGTCATTCGCACATTACATTTGAACTAAATGATTAAACACTAGAACCGGCAATTGTGGATTTTTATCGTATAGTATAGTATCAGCTCATTAAAATATATGCTATCGTCAAAAATAGGTATTATTTACACGTGTAACTAATGGAGACGATTAGAACAGTGAACATGAATGAACAGAGCCACCTGGAACTAAGGGTAGATTACGTTATTTTCACATCAATATGCCGTAGTACTGTCGCTTTTGTTGTCCACGTACTTACAAACTGTCAAATTTAATACTTGCAAAGCCTGATTTTTTTCCGTGATTTTGGACATGCAGGTGGTGCAACTGCCGTGCTCTTATCAGGTTAGCGCACAAGCATTTCCGCTTGAATGGTGACTAAATTCACGCTTATTATTTGAAAAACTTGTGTATATATGTTTTTTTAAAGTTTCCCTTTTTTGTAAATTTTCTAGCGTCGTTTTGGAGTCTAAGTTATTATAGTATGTCCATGATTTCCCAAAAAAATCTGGTCTACAACATAACCTTCATACGCTTGTCATTAGAAGTGTGCGCAGTAATACGAGCAATGACACTTGCATCACATTGTTGTCGATAAAAAGCTTAATAACGTCTCAGTGTTTGCATGATGTTCAAAACCAGATATATTTCCATATCATTGTCGAAAGCTGTCAAATTTCAGGCACAGCAAACGCATTAAAGAATGGAAGGTGGATGTAAATTTTGCTACCGCCGATTTTATACCGTGGAACTGACTAGACGCGACTCAAATCCCCTCAAGACAAGTTTATAAAATCCTCTGTACCACTTCACAAATCAACGCGGTTTGCCGAGAAAGTTTTCTCACCTACTACCGCTTAGTTCGTTGGATACATACTTTGTATTCTATTAAAGAAACCAGAATTTTTCACTGTTAGAACTGTCGAGATGTCCGGGACATGGTACCTTTAAATCAAACACACACAGTAACGCGTGGCTTTTTGTCGCTTCTTTGAGTGCCCTTCCCTCAGTACCATGTAATTTGCCTTCTCGCTTGATCTCTGTGGCGATTCAGGTGGACGTTCAACCTTTGGATAAGTGTGTACTGGTCTTTCATCTATCTTTACCCCTCGACGACGCATTTCCAGTTCGAAACTTGTACGCAATCTGCTCAAGTAGCTTACGCCGAATGGCAATTTACAAGCGGAGTATAATTGTCACTACAATCTACACATGTGGATCTGTGCACCTTACTAATTCGCCAATTACACTTAAATCTGCTTGACTTAAATCCACCCTATTCGGTCAGCTGCTGTGGTAGCACTGGTTTTGCTGTTTCTTTTTCTCGGGTTACCCTATTACTGATCTTTTGTGTGAGCGTTCATGAGCTGTACAGACTTAAAACACGGCTCCTGCCAACCGCCAGTTTTGTTTACTTGTGAGGGTTTTACCTGGATGCCGACTGCTCCATCAGTAACCAGGTCAGGTTTAAATTTGCCACTGCATTTGGTCTGCCCTGCTTGTTCCTTGTGCAGTTAAGCGTAGATTTTGTAAAAAAACAAGAGCCTATACACTCCAAGTAAATACTTCCTGCAACATCTACACTTTTACCACCTCCGCCGACTGGGCATTGCGCGGTCGTTGTTTGGACTGCTTCATCGAGTGACAATCGTGCAGTCTGTGCCTTCCACACCTTCAGCGGTATTCGCATGCACACTTAGCCTGCGGAATTTAGTCAAAATGCATGCATTAAAAGCTTCTCTTAAGTGTTTTTGTAGGCTTTTAAAAGAGGTTGGTTTAACCTTCCAAGCATGCCGTGTTTCCTTAAAATGGCAAATGTTCAAGACTTTGAAGTAGTCTGGAATACCATATATTCTGCTGTTGTAAACACCGCTCATCGCGCTTTGGTTTACTGCAATTTTGATGGGACAGACACACTTCAACACAGGGAGAGGAGGTGAAAGTTTTGTGGTAAAGTGAAGACCACTGATTAGTCTCCGAGAGTATGTTAACAGAATGCAAAGGAAACGCTGTTTAGTCGAGTGACCCACTGGTGAACTACTTCTTAAGGTTTTGTTTAACCACGGTTGCCAACGGAAATTAGCAAAAGGATTTTGTAAATGAAATTTTATTTATGCCGTTTAATAGTCACTTAAAGAACCTTTCATTTTGAGAACTACCACACACACTTAGTTACCGTTACTATTAAATTCGGTCATTTAATATCACGCCATAACTTTGCAAATTTACTTTTCTTACAAGTCTGAAGGAGGTTTTGGGAAACCTATTTTAGTATGCTTCAACTTGTGCGTTAATTTTCTTCAAAATTATTTTTTAAATATTTGTGTGATATGGTAAGCGTTCAATTCTAGTGTTCCCTAAGAGCACAGACATGTTATGCAACCGTTTTTCTTCACATCTCCGAACATTTCGTCATTAGCTATTTATCCAAATAGTTCGACATTCATTAAATTATTTTTTGCACCAGTTTGTGCGACCGGAGCCTTGGTTGCAGTGTAAACTCAAAAAAGCACCAAAACCTTACTTTCGTCAGTTAAATTTGTGATTTTTGTGGATTCCTAACACCTCAAACCACACCTTGTTGATTTTTTTAAATCATCCGAACTTTTAACCCCATATGCTTATTCGGATGATGCTACCGCATTCCTTAACCGAAAAAGAAATGTCCTTTTTTTGGAGTTTATCATATTTCGAATCGAATCTGGATTAAATTGTTGTTGACTTATCGACTTAAATGGGTGACATTTATTTAAACTTATGGCGTTTTGAACCTCGCAGAAAACTCACGCACAGATATTGGCTAAAGCTGTATGTCACTCGTTCAACTGTTAACCTACTTTGAAACTTATTCATCGTTGTTATATCAGTTTTCTTTAGGCTGAAATCCGTTCTTAATCTTCATTTTGTCAACTGTAAAATAGCTCGAAGAATGTTTTTGCGTGTTTTTCATGTTCTGGTGGGTAATTATGGTCAGGTTCTACCGGTTGTGTCAGTTTTACACTGGCCGGCACCCTATTTGAAATTTAACTTTTCTTTCCTCCTATTCGATCCACTCTCAGGCGGCGCCGTTGTCATCTTGATTATGTGCATCTCGAGAGATGGATGCCGGTTTCGTTTTAATAAATAGCAATCATCCCACGGTGAGCACACACAAGCTAAAACCCAATGCTGAGGCAGTTAATGTGTTTCCAGGTAAACGCATGTCTGCCTGAATTGCAAAAACGTCGCACATCCACTTCTCATCCAACCGTTTTGCACGACAGTGTGACCAAGTAGATTGTGACGTTGGTACGCTCGCATAGACCTAACCGATTGTTTGTCAACTAAGTTTACGTGGCTTTTTTCGAATAACGGGGTGCCGTGCATGTTTTTTGCCCTAGACTTGCTTAATTAAATTTCATCTTTGTTGATTGCTACATTTTATAAACCAAGCTAATGTTATACGGGATGATGCCCTTATTAACATTGTTCTGGCATTTTTATGCAAGATTTCATCCACAATTGTACCTTTAATTCATTGCAAATTATTGTGAAATGTACTTTGGTCTTCACATTTTTATAATTATCAAACCTTTCTCCGTCATCGAATCCCCGTCTTTAATTAGTTGGGCACATTGAGCATAAGTAAAAATTTCGCATTTGTATACAATTTTCGACCTTCAAATATTGCGCTAATTTGATGTTCAATTTCCTTTATTAATTTTAGCAGTTTCGGGTCAATAAGGAGCAGAATATTCACGGATTCGGGGTATTTACCAGCCACCCCCCTACCGACTATCCCAATCCACCGACATCAAGTAAACAGGAGGACGTTTGAGCCCTTGCTCTCAAAATTTACATTAACTTACATGTAATGCTTCTGTTCCTCAGATAAGACTTACAATCACACATTTATCACCTGCTTTTGTCTTTGTACCCTTCGGGAAAGCCAGTGCAGATGTTGCATTTCACAGTTTTGCAGTAATTTATTCAGTGGACTGTGTATAAATCGTGTATTGAGCAAAATTTTTCTCCAATCCCGTCTTTCTGTGCTTTTTCGGCGGTTTTTCAGGGTTCCGTGTGTTGAACCAGCAAACAACTATTAAAAATACACTTTTATTTGTTGGCAGTTGTTTTTTTTTATTGCAGGGAAGTTTGAAGTGTTGCCTTTCTAAACATGCATTTTCATCGGCACAATCGGTCTTTGTTTACTTCAAAATATGTGTCATTGGTGCGAATTTGGTATTGTTAAGAGAGCGCGTTCCTAGGTGGTGTTACTCTGTCTAATGTGGCCTTGTATTTACTGGGGAGCGTATGATCGTGTGTGCGTTCTCTTTCCTGAGACCCCCGACAATTTACCGCAAAGTGACTTTTTGAAAATCAAGTCGGCCTAGATCGGTTGATGAGGGGTGGTTGAGGGACCTTGTTCGTTCAGCGGCGGTTTGGAAATTGTTTACTCGCGTCTTGGCCGAAGTCGGAATCAGATTGAAATTACTAGTTGGAGGTTGGCTTTACTCTTTCATTTGAGCTCAGCTACTCACGTTTTTTATAACTTGTGGAAAAAAGTTCCGTCTGGATTTGGCAATGCTCTCAGTTTTGAACTGTTGTCAAGACATTTTTGAGATCATGCTTACGAGAAGTAGACTTGGGTCAAACGACCTCGGACAAGATAACTCACATCGGAGAAATTGTTGCTGTGGCCGAGTGGTAGGGAATCTGAAGGGAATTAATGGCCTCGTCAACATTCCTAAAAGCTGTGTTGTCACGATTCCAACAGTTTAATATTTTGAAGTTCCAGCAATGCCTCTTAAGATTTTCCCAAGCAGCGCACACCACTTTCATCTCAGGTAACAAATTTAGACAACGGCGATCAGATCCTGAAGTGTGCAGCTCTCGATGTAATTCTTCGACCACCTAAGTTCCAAAAGATGAATTTCATGGCATCGCAGTGAAATCACTGGTTTGGTGTTATCGTGTATAAAGGCAAGCCATGGACACAGTTAAATCTGCTCAACATTATTGTGGGTTTTCAGGAACTGATTGTTGACTTCCACGATGAGACTGCACAAGTTTTTAAAACTGCATATTTTGTTCGAGGTTGTGTAAACGTGCGCGCTGTTTGGAATCCGACAGTTTGTGTGCTGTTGATGTCCAATTATTATGTTTGCATGCGCAAATTTAGCTGTAATTAAAGCATTATTAGTTTAAATATGTGGGTGGGGCAAAGGTTTTTGCTAAATTCCGTGTTGTCCGCATTAGATCACTAAACTCGACCGCGAACGGTTGAAAAAGGTGCAGGCGAGCGAGGCGGTTGATGGATGAAATAAACTATTTTCACGAGTGACTACCAGACATTGGATTAATTTAACTAAATCATCTTAGATTAATAATTCACATCACACCCCGTTTGGGTAGGTTTTAATTTAACGTTTGTTTAAATTAACGCATTATTTTAAATACTTTTGTTAATAACTTTGTAATAAGAAGAACTCAACCAATTTGCATCTCTGTTTAGTAAAATGTTTTCTTTTAATTTTTGGAAATCTTATCAGGTTGTAACACTGGTACCTAAAAGAAGTTTCCAACTAGATTTTCTAAGTCTGTACTGCCAGTTTTAATCGCAAATAAATAACATTTGGGTGACACACAAGGCATAAGTGTTTAAAGTAATTTTACTGTTTTATCCAGTTGATTCGAAATAAGCGAATCAAAAATCAGTTAATGCGGATTGGTTCACTCCTACCAATAGCCTCTGGCCTTACATCAAACGCCTAACATTTTGGGGGAAAATCATAAACACATCCTGGATTGCTCGTGAACGAAAATTACATAATTTGTAGGTACATTGTATTTCGTTGTTAACACTACAAATTATGCATTAGTGCCACACCACTTCATAAACTTGGACATTACATGTTTAACAATTTTTTTAAGCAAATTCAGTGACTAGTTTGTTAGAAATTGTTAATTCAAAATTTATTTCAGATTTTCTCTGAGGATAAGCTGTACATTAGTTTATCAATTTCAAAATTGTATAAGTTAATTGTGTTAAAAGAAGTCGAACCAGATACCTTGCCTAATGTAAAAAAACCTGTTTATGAGAGTAAATAAACAGACATCAAAATTAAAGCAACGTGAAATGTCTCTTCTGTTTTCTTTCATTTACAATAAATTTGGTAAACAAAGGGGAATTTTTGAATATGTGCTAAAATACACGTAACATGCAAATAATTAATCGCAATCGATGATGATCCTATTGTGAATACTTTTGAGTAACTTTTGAGTAACCTGAAGCTACGTACACCCGAATTTTGTCTGCTGTGCATTTAATGACACAAATGAATTGATAAATGCTTGATTTAATGCCTTCAAATAAATGTCCTAGTTCTTAAGGTGGACCTGCATTTGCTTAATCTGCGTTGTAAAGAGTGCTGAGTTCGAATTTTTGTCAGTATATATTAAGATAGGTACACTGTCGATCTAAGAATTAGCATTGAAATATTTTGGCCTGTTACAACCAGTCTTGTTCATTTAGCATGCAAGTAGCGTGCTATTTAAACTGCAATTTAAAAAAAATGCGGATTGACTTGAAATGAAGGTCAAGATGTGACTGACCTTAATTGAGGCATTAATAGAGTTGGCATCAGTTTTTTTAAAAAGATATTAAGAATTACTGTACGATAAGGGTTAAATAGGATGTTGTTACGTGTAAGTAAATGAGAGCCTAGAATTATATATATTTTGATTAAATAGATAGCTGATAGACTTTCAATTCCTGAATGCACTAAATTTTCTAACCTTAAACGCTGACAATCTTGCATTTAATGACACCCTATCTTAGTAAAAGCTGTACTAAACTTACCAGTGTAGCTACTTTTTGCCAACACGAGCAAGTAAAAGGAACCTGCGTATCACGTTCATGCAAAGAGCTTCGTAACATAATGTGGTTCTTTTTTCATTTCAACTTCCTGAGTAGCGTAAATAGCCATGCGTTACAGGCAGGTGCTTGATGTGTAAAGAACCCATGACTTGGTGATAAAAAGAGAATGCACAAGACGGAATTTGCTTTTCCACTCCAGATCTTAGTACTTAGAATTCTAAATGAGCTGCAGCAGAGAACTTCCTGATCCAACACAGTGAAAACCTTAGCATCGTATTAGGTATCATGTAGGTTTTTGTACTGTTCTTGATATTTTGATCAGCCTGAAACGGACAAAGAATATTTGCATACTGGCTCTCGTCTGTGACTTACATTTGTGAATGTAAACGCGGAAATAATTTTGACGACTTGCTTAATTATCATAGAGGATAAACGGTTAGGTAAAAGAGGTTGCACTGATAAGCCGTCGGTAAAATTGCTAAGTTATTGAATCTTCAAATGGTGATTATAAAACAAGAATGTATCTTCGTGCTGTACACCCATTTAAACGTCTGTCAAAAAGTGTTGACGATTAAATTTGTTTTTGTTCACTATAACATTTATCCTCTAAAGGTATTACTGAACAACTCAATCTCTTTTTAATCAAGTAATATATTTTTAAATAAAATACTATGGTTAGTTTTTAACGCATTTAAGTTTTGATTCCCTAGTTAAAGACGTGCAGCTTTCTTTTAACCTCAGAAGTGACAACGCTATTAATACTATTGCAATGATTGGTCATATCTTTTCATTTTAACGCACAGTTAGCTTTTTTTTAGTGTCGTGCACTTCAGTGTCTGCTATTTTTTTCGCACATTAATTGCACGTACCAATTGAATACTTTATATCTTTTGCAGATCATCATTTCAAGGCCTGGTATAATGCTTATAATTACATGGCCACTATAATTTCGAAACTGCAAAAATCGATCAGTTGAATTTGTATTCTACAAAAAACCTGGTTGCTTTCTGCAGTTGTCATTAAAACTGTCCTGTTAGGCTCTTTCCATTCAAGGTGAATTCACTGCAAGAATCTTTCTGCTCTAGGTGAGCTCTTAACGTTGAGGGCAGGCAGTAGCGTCTGTGGCACTGAATCGCTACAAAATATGTCGTGTTCTGAGCAACATCAGCTTCATTAACAGTGGCTACTAGGACTTACGTACTGTCGACTGAACAACAGGCATTAAGCAGACCATTCGGCATGAACATGGTTGCACTTTCTCACATTTGGTCACCTTCAGCAGACACCTAGATTTACAGAGCTTTTGGCTAAAATTATAGGATTTATTTGAGGTCGCAATTGAGTAAACGAGGTTGCATTCTGGTATTCCAGAAACTGCTAATTGGGACTAATTTTCACGCCTAAGCAAATAAAAAACAGAAGCGAGCATCTACATACATATTCATAAGTGGAGAAAACATGTTTTTGACAAGTCGTGAATCCTTTGAAGAGGTTTACCACGGATACAATGGAATGTACTCTTGACTGTAACTTATTCCCATAAGAATTTCAGTGTGTTATCCTTGGGACAAGTAGACAATTTTTTACACGAAATTGACACCACCAAGCTGTTTTGACGTACTGCAGTATTCCACCTGCCAAAACCGGTCATTCAAAAAGTGGATGTTAAGCCTGGCTATCAGCGAAGTATTTCCTCTTCCATAACTACAGGGTGTATTAGTTCTATCGTTTACTTATTCATCCTCCTTTTTCTGTTTTACAGTCATGGAAATGCAGTTAAAAGGAGATGGTTTAATATTGTGGAAAATAAAAATTGTAAAGATGCCTGACCAACAGTTGAAGCGTGTGAGCTCTCGTTGACTCCCAGGTTAATTCAAAAACTTAGGCATAAATTATTAGAATTAATTGGGATACCTTTCTCGCAGTCCCAGCAGAGTCACTTCCAGAAAAACAGTTATATGAGTAAAGAAGTTTAGACCAATGCAAGCACAAACTGCACTTCTGATTTTTTTCACTGAAATGTTTCAGTTTTGTTGAATTTAAAATGCATAAGGCGGAAATTCAGCAACAAATTCAAAAGAATTTGCGATAATAAGCAGGCACTCCTTTAAATTAACCACACTTCATTTCGGGCTGTCAAAAAAAAAAGAATAATGATTTTGCCACGATAATTATAACTGATGGTAGGAAGTTCTGGATAGGGAAAGCTGATTTTATTAAACGTTTAACTTAGCACATAAAAAAAAACATTTTAAAGAGAAATTCGCAAATAGAATTTAAAACGAGGCGCTTGGGTTTCTTGGGGCAAAATACGCACACAACTGCCTTTCTCAGATTAATTTTGAATTTTTGGCTCTGTGAATAAGCCTCAATACATATTAAAGTGATTATTGAAATTACATCTTATGAACAATACACGGAAGTGGTACTGGGCCAAAATTTGCTCGTAAAAACATCGAATATGGGACAAAAGCTCGTTCACAACTAGGTAATCCAAATGTCTGAATTCCAATTAAAAAGGGGCTATAAAGCTAACTGTCAAGACTAGACAGTGAGTTAGAAGATGAGATAATGCACACATAACATCAGGGGGGATTTTTGCAGCAGCTGGTACTTTTTATAGGGCTTATTACAGTTCATACCTGCGTCAACAGCGCGCGCAAATTTGCATTTGTCAAGTACAAGGAGTTACCTAACGTAGATTAGCTACTTACTTTTTGTTGAAAATGCATTAATTTGGTTTGCATTTGCTATCTGTAGGGCAGATTTCCACTCAAAGTTTCAAAGCAAGCTCTACAGCCATCTCATGACCAAGGTTTTTCTTGCATGTGGCAGATAACTTCAATGGCTGTTTTTCTAAATTGTTTAATTTACCTCAACATACTGTTTTACTGTGCCTGTTTGCCGTAATTTTGTTTAAATATCAAACTTTCAGCAAGGCTTTGAATGCCAGGATGAAAGTAAAAATCGAAGTATTCGACTCTTGAGTTATTATCTGCAAAATATTTAAGCGAATTGTTGCTGTCTACGTGGCTACAGCATGAGTAACTGTGCAACAATTAGGAGGATGTTTTCATAGATAAATAGTAACAATAAAGCCAAGCCACGTCAAAAACGGTCGAGCAACAACACATAAACTAATCGAACTTAGGAGCAAAGCATTAAGCATTTGAAACAGAACAAAATAGCGATACTAAAATAGCGACGATTTCACAAACGATACATTGTGAATTACCGGAACACAGTCTTCTTTACATGACACAGTAACCACTTAGATGCTGCTATGGTGAAAATATCCTCTTCACAGAAAATGTTTATTTCTCGATTAATCTGGATTCCCCTTTTCCGTTGTTGCAGTCTTCCACAAGTTGAGTTGTGTTTGTAATTAGTGATGGATTTAGCGTTGAAGTAGAAAATTCTATTTTTTATGCTTGGTTGGTTTGGCCTTGCACTGGTTCTAATGTCAATTTATAGCTCAATAAAGTTATAATCTGCATCTTTCTACGTGCTCCTAGACGTAAGTACAGAAACCTTGAATCATATTTTAAATTAAAAATGTAAATTACTGGCTAAATTTAGGCTCCACAGGGGCACTTGCAGTCATAATCTTGTTTACCGGTACATTGAAAAATTTCCTGTCCTTAATTTGCCTAACACATGCATTTGTACATTCACAAAGAAACCAAATAACCCTTTTTGCCTCTCATATAGCGAACAATGTTTCTTAAAATTACGTAGTCATCTAATCCCTATTTTAACACAATTCTAGCCGGTATCTAGAACTCAACACGGTTTATTAGGCAGTCTTTATTTGGAAGAGCTTTGGTTTCTGCGTTTATGTCCACGACATGCATTAGGTACCAAGAACATCGTGTGAAGAAAACGCCGAATTATTTCAGAGTACATTAGAAAGATGCCGAGTCCCCGGCAGGTGCAGTGGGGACGCAGTTCACGGACACAGCCTTCAACTCCTGGTCGACGACGACGTGACATTCCTTCCACGCCCAACAGCGGTGGTGGTTCCGGGAATGTCGCACGTCGACACGTCCTCCAGTCACAAACATCGGTAACCATTGACCAGCCAATCGACTACACAGGACTCTCCCTAGAAGAGGAGGATGAGGAGGAGGAGGAGGAGGAAGAGGAGGGGAGTTCGGGGACTCGAAGGTGCCTTTACACATCCTACCTCCGACGAAGGCTGAAGGAAACCAGACCTTGCAGCATGGATGAGGGGAAACTAGAATGTCTTCACACAATCAATCCCAGAAGACTGCAGAGGAGTAATGCTTCGTCCTCAAGGGCAATGTCATTCGAGAATCCCTACTACGAGGAATCGGAAGGTGAGAGTTGGCGAATTATGGTTGCTTTTATCATACATAAAACCTTTCTTAGGTAAGTGTGTTTTACGATAGAAAATTAGTTGGAACTAGTTTTGATAACCAATTTTCTCATGGCTGCAAATAATCCTAATGGATTCTTGGCGTGGAAAGAGAAATACGGCGTGTTCCTTTCGAATTTCTGCATGCCTAGCAAATGCGTTTACCGCAAAATTCGTCTAAGCACTGTGCGAACTTCTTTACGCGTTGTAGAACGTGCTTGAAAACGTTTAATGTGGAATAAATAGTTCAAATTTATAATCTCAAGGCCACGAACGGGTGGAACTAAGCAAAATCGGAAAGTTATGTAGGTTTGAAAGGGTTAGGTGGTTGGCGGCTGCAGTGTTAAAAGGTAGAAAAGAGTGACGTCACCGAAATGAATGCTTTTTGGCTGAAGTCTTATCTGCATTAGTGTCTCGTGGTAGCTTCTAATAAGATGGTGGTGCAGCTTTCGTTTGCGTCATGGTCACATTCACACACTTTAAACCCATGTGTGAAATATTCAAAAAAGTGGAGTATTGCTGACAACGAAAACCTAAGTGTGATTCACCCTAGTCACTTAGGCAACAATAATGAGACATGACGTTTGGGGTAATTTAAGCAGAAGAAAGCATTTTGTAATCTGACATTCCTTACAAACCAGTTTTGACATTTCTCAAGCTAATTTTTCCCCAAACGTTCTACTTAAATTTTTCAGTAGAAAATTACTTATAGAATGGGCATATTAGAACGTTGAACAGCACAAATTGGCACTGAAGTGGCGGGTACCGTATTCTCACCTACCCCTAAGTAATCAGACACCTACTCTCATTTTTTAACAGTTCAACTAATAATATACCAATTTTGATAAATGATAGAGATGGGGCGAAATTAAAGTTTTCACTTGTAAAGTTATATTTTTAAGTAGTCTTGAGTTTATTTTGATGTACTACCCACCCGAACATGATTTTTATCGCTTAATGTAAAATACAACCTTAATTATCTTGATTTCTAACTTATATATCGATGAAAATATCAAGAAGACATGTATTTCACTGAAAGAATATGGCGTAAACTCACGTCCTAAAATCGATTCCTTCTAGATCTTACCCGAAGAGAAATATTATTTTGCCTTTCATTTAAACAACTTAGGACTTAATTTAAATTAGGGCAATTTCTCGAGGGATTACGTTTCGTAACCTCAGTTTCGTGAATCACTTTAACGGATTCTTGGCATGGACTTTCTCCCTTTGGACTTTTGTGATACGAAGAGTGATCGCGCATTCTGCACCAAAAATATAGGGATCTTTCGTAGCATGAAATTAAAAAATGAATGTCAACGCTGCAAATCTGTCGTATTAGTCAATGGTTTATGCTTCATTGAACAGCAATATACATTAAATATGTCACATGGCTACTTTACTGATGTAAACTAAACTAAAGACGGAAGGGTTTAGAAGTGGATATTAACGTCAGCTGCAAAAATTACCAATTGAATTATTTTTTCAAAAAATTAAACATTGTAACATTTATACATGCAATTCGTGAAATACTAAAGGCGTAAATAAAAATGTGTTTGGCTTATAAGACATGTGCACATTTTTCTACATTTTTCCACCACAAAATCCTGGTAGATGTGGCCAGGAATCGAAAAGAATATCTTTTGGTGCAATTGACAGTGAATGTCATAGAAAAGGCAAATTTTACCATTTCCTCCGTTAACTTAGTACCATGTCTTTTACCAAGAACATCGTGTCACTTTTCAATCGGCCTGTTTGCGGCTCAAGTAAAAAACAACTTGTCAAGGCATTTTATTTGCTCCAAGTACACAAATATGTAGGGATTTAAGGTACTGAGGGAGTCCAAATTTGCAGCAAAATCATTTCTGTTATTTAAAATGCATGAATTTAGGTTCTCTGTAAACTGACGTGTTTGTATTACTAAAACAACCGCCTAACAAGACTGTTCACACAAGGCATTTTAATATTCCGTATTTTTGCATTTATGGGAAATCAATCAATGTCTCAACTAGTGGGTGACTGCTGAAATTAGCGCTTGATTTAAAAACAATGTAGATGCAGTGACTTGTTTGTAATAATTTTATTTGAAACTTAACCATATCCTGTCCTTTATTTTACAAAATTGTGTCCCAATGTTCTGTAAATTTTTTAAAATTTTTTTGTTTAAACTGCATGGCTTGGCTACCATGTAGGTTTTAAGGTGTTATTTGACTTTTTCAATTGATTTAACTGATTTTTATTTAAAAAATATTTTAAAGAAAACAAAACAGATAAAATCTGAAAAGCCAGGGTTAAGGGTGTACGGCAAGTGGGGGTGGAGGATTTAGCTGTCTGCGTTTTCGCAATGTCCGTTGAGCGACATGTGGTCTGGTGTTTCCGTGAGAGAAGAAAATGCTTATTTGATATTCTAAAATCACACTTTTTGCTTGGAGTTTGTGGCTGAGTTAGGTGGGTTGCACTTATTCTCCACGATTATTGTCTGACCACCTAGAAGAACCTCATACAAAATTACCACTGTGTTATTCCCCAGCACACAAAGCGGCACTTCCATTAAATGCGGCGACGTGGCTTTTGCCATGGATTATACTTTTTCCTTTTTATGCATCCAAAACCTTTTGCTTTACATTTATTTGAGTGGAAAGTATTTTATATATTTACTCATGAATTCATTCATGAAATGTACAAATTAATGATGGTAAAAGAGGGAAATGGCTGTGAAAACACAATTCAATTTGTTCCATTATGTCAACACGCGTGGAGACCACATATCGGGTACTAAAGTATATTCAAGTTGGTTTAAGTGACGTAGTGCAGTTGTGTGGCCAAAGGTCAGTCTGCCACCAATTTCCTGATTGGTAGACTAGTGGAATATTACTCATTAATCGGTGGATGAAGTCATTACCAATGCTGTAAGGTAGTCTAAATTAAAGGTTATTGTTTAACTTAAGGTGGCCGCCTGCGCCCAATTAAACAATTTATTAATTGGCTTAGGAGTAGAGGCATGGTTCATGTAAATGCCTTAAACATTTTGTGGTCTCACTCATTTTATATTCCCATAACATAACATATTGAATGATTAACTTTCCGTTTATCATTTTAATACATTAACCAAGCTTGCAAGTTCATTTAGCGAAACTGTTGATTTTGGATGTATTCAAGCAGATTGCGCATAATAATATGATCACTAAAGAAGCATCAGCACAGTCAAATTGAATGCTCCGGCCATCTTTGAAAATCGAGTAAAAGCCTTTGTAATCACAGAACACTGCCAGAGAACACTAAGTCGAATGTCGCTGAGATTCTAGAAATTCAAAGAAGTTACCCTTTTAGGGACTTGAAAATTATCTACCCTCTCTAAAACACACAACTTCACGCCCTTTTATGATGAGATAATTTGAAATAGAATGCACATTTCAACACAATTTAACCTCATTTGAAGCTGGGAAATTAAGAGCAAGGCAGATAGCTTGATCCAGACTGCTATTCTACACCTCTACGGAAAATAAGAATTTTTACATTATGTTGATTCACCTTACTTGGTATGTGTCCCACTCTAATTCACTGTGCATTAAAAAACCACAAGCAACCTGAATTCAAGCCAGAAGTCTTGCGCTGCAATACCTGTACGTTAATCAATTCATCATTAGTTGCTATTTATAAAAGTTACATTTTTCGATATTAGTGTTTGTCACATTTACCGAAAGGTGGTATTATGTGTTAACATCAATTTTTCAATTGTGTTTCGGCTAAACTCAGAATTCATTTTACTGGTCCCTGAATTGAATGCTAAGTTTTTATACATTAAAGTAATCCTACATTACCTATCAAGCGTGCTTTCCCAATCAGATTTAGCAAAGTGGGTAGCCAATCTCGTTGAAGCTTCGTGCGAAAACCTGATTCGCTGTGCCACACTTTTAACCATTACTGCAGCATTACAAAAGTAGAAAGCGTTTTTCACCAACAAATGGAATGTCCCCTTCGACAGTCTTCAGACTTGTCCTGCTACCCCAGTTCTCACCTTCGTCCTCTAGAAAAACCTCAACTTCAGAACATTCAAAGCTCCATGGCTGAGGAGGAGGAATCGGATTTACTTGATACAACAGCCGATTCGATTGGTAGGGCCCCCAAACACGACCTCTTTGCTTGTCCACCAGTTTCTGAAGCAGATGCAATCCAAGAAACAACTAAGCGCATCTATAAACCCAATCTTCATCGATCAGTGACTACTGTCGATGGCAATCATAAAAGAAGTGAAACCGAGGAAGCAGTGTCATCTCGCAAGCCACCCTCCATGCTTTACATTCGAGGACGGACATCATCGCAAAACCCCCGTTGGGCATCTCGAATTGCGCGCATGAAGTCACTGCAACGAAGCAGCACAATCGATACACGGGTTAACACTGTACAGTGGAATCCTAGTTTTTGTTTGGCGAATCCCCTTGCTGACGCCAAATCCTGTGACACAGGACTAGACGCATACCACCCCCTGCACAACTCAGCGGGTAACATTCACCAGTGGCTTTGGACAGAAGAAAACCAACGGGCACAAATGCCGCAGCATTCCAACTATCCCGGGAAAGTGGGGCAGACGAAATGCTTTGTAGATGTAGGAACTCAGTACTTTCCCCCACCACATTCAAAGGAGATGGAACAGGCTTCCAACATTGAAATGGGGGTAATCGGCTGGAAGCCGAAAGTGTCCATGAGTCTGCCAGACCCCACACTTCAAACATCCCCTTCCGGTGACGTTGGTTTGGCGGGGCAAGGTTTGGAAGCTGCGGGAGGAGCAACGCGTGTTGACGGACAGATTTCTGTAAATGCTGCTGCCGTCGCGGATGGCCATGTTGAGGAGCTTTCCGACCCGAGCAAACACAGCACCTCGAGTTATTTGAAGGAACAGTTCTTCGCATTCTTTCAACCATCGGACAACAAACTGGCAATGAAGTTGTTCGGTAGCAAAAGTGCACTAAACAAAGAAAAGCGGAGACAGCAACAACACGGAAAGTGGATTATCCATCCTTGCAGCAGCTTTAGGTAAGCATGCTAATGTCAAAACTGTTCCTGTGCAACAAACCACGGTGCTTTGTGCAGAATGTAATTTGTGCGCGTCACCTGCTTGCAATTTAAGGTTGTGAAATTTTGTGGCCTTTGACAAAAATGCAATGTCATTCCTGTCGTAAAAAAACTAAATTGACATCCATGACTCTTACAAAAGTAGGCACAGATATCGTCTTTGGTTATCATTGTTTCATATCCATGGTTACGTAAAGATGCGTCGATCTGGGAAGCAATGGTCTCGATAGGCAAGTATCTTTGAATGGTCAATTAGAAAATTCCTTTTGATGAAACGACCATCCAGTTAAATATCCATTTAGGGCCCTAAAGACGCTAAACTAGGCTAAATTCTAGACGCATGCTATTACAAACACAATCAAATATTTGGATTACAATTTCTAAGCCAGAGACTTCTGAGAAAACTAATCTTGGATTTCTGAATGTGTGATGACTCCATGATAATGACCAAAAAATCGTCAGCAGCCACATTTTATTAGATAGAGGAGTTGAATTAGAGACGAAATAGTTAAGAAAATACACAAAAGACTAAAGTCACAGATCTGGCTGCCTGATTTAATTAGACAAGAATAGCAGAATTTTAATTATAAATTAAAATGGACTTGTCATGATATGGTCACTAAAACACCATTTTTATAAGACTCGAGATGCCACTGCTTAAGAAAACACGAAGTTGATTGCCTAACTTATTATTGAAATGAATCAAATGTAATTACTAGCCTTGGTTTATTTATTTTCTGAATTTATTATGTCATAAATGCTTTTTAAGCCAAAAATTAAAGGAAACCGAGATTATAAAGTTTTATAGTAGATATCAATGCGGTCAAAACTTATGGTATTAAAACTGAAATAAGAGTCGATAAACGAATAAATATAATCTTAAGGTCAGTCCATTCTAATAAGACAATGAAAATCTAGAGTAGGTAGCATTAGTGTGTGAATATATTTTCGATTAAAATTATCATTAATTTCACGTAACTTGAACCATTTGCTTTATAGTGATAGCAAATTTAGACAACTTGAAATAGCTTTTAAGGAAATGTCGATGATTAGCAAGCGCTCAAATGTGTTACGTTAAAATAGCAATAAGCGGCTTCATATTTTTATATAAGCTGAAAAAACAGATTTTAGATACCACATGCTACTTCTATGCTACATAACCCATAAGTTGGTAAAATACTACCGTTAAATGAAAAAGAGTTCTTGTGAGGCCAAGCACACAGAAATATGAAGTGCGTTTGCTTGACAAATGCAGTTGGTTTTTAAAATTATACACAAGACAATTTTCCAATCTGCCTGATAATGTTAACGTACGTCTAAGTAGATATATAATTACGTTGTATTTATGCACTCATTTTTGAGCCCTACTTTGCATTAAGAAAAGCATTAGCTAAATTCACTGAGTTGAAAATAATTCAATGGCAATTTAAAAGGGGAACATTTAGAGGGCTTTTATTCTTGTGCTGTTCAGGGTTACCTTACGCCACTCATCTAAGGCTTCGCGAATGCATTTTTAAGATGCGCGTTTTGTTTAAATATGCATGAATGAACCCAGGGTTTATCTTTGTGTACAATGAAGACATCGCTTTCTGCTTTTTAGAGGTACGAAGAATCCGAAATTTTAGGTATATCATGTATATGGAATAACTAAAAGAGAACATTAAGAATGAACCACTCAATATTTAAAAATTCACAGCTGGTTCTGACGTTTTAAAGAGAAGTTAACGTGATTACCAGAAAAATAATGTCTTTAATTTACCGGGTAAAGATTTTTTTTCTTTATCACAATTCGCTACTGAATTGAAATAATAAATATCAGGGCCCTTATAATGAATTTAAAGGGAATGCAACAACATGCAAATTATATTTCATTTTTAGATCAAGTCCATGTTGGATAATTTTTGGATTCTAGTTCTAAAGTATAGGCATCAAACGATTAAGTTTATTTTGAATTTAAGTCTTAAAGTTAACCTGCCCAGTTTAAGCAAATGTTTTAAATAGCTTTATTAATTGCAAATGAAGGTATTAGAAGATGGAACACAAGGAAACTAATCTTCTATTTAAACAATGCGGTTATTTGGTTAAAATATTTTTTGTTTATTTTGCCGTAGAGCAGCAAATTTAAGGCGCAATTCCGTGACCTTTATTAGCGAGGTAATTTGAAATAATTTTCCTGTTAACGCAAGTACCATGGTTTCAGAAAGCATTAAAACGGCGATCGCCTAACGTCTAATTGCGGACAGTTTGGATTTAATATGAATTCGTGGATATTGAGATAAAGTCAAGCCAGACAGTGATGTAGGTTAATATAATTGAATCAAATTTCTCATTAAAACCATAGAACATTGTAAAAAATAAATTTAGAGGATATTCTTGGACAAGACATTCAAATAAAACGCAAAATTTGTATGAGTGCCAAAACTATCTAAGTTAGCGCACATTTGTTTAAATCCTAAAGCATTCAGAATTTGCCGATGAACATCGAATTTTACTGAATACACACATTTTACGGTAAACGTAGTACTGTGGAGTTCATTAACAGTGAATGCCACTTGCAATATTAAATATGCGACTTTGACTACGATGCCGGTTGGTGTTTTAACGGAATTGTCTGTAGCAGGTTGAGTAACGCTTCTGAGGTCATTTAGTATTGTCCCATGTCAGTCCAGTTTGTTATTTCCTGAGAGAAAAAATCTGTCTGACGTTTGTCACAATTTGATACGCCATTGAACTGCAACTTTAAAACGTCTACAGAACCAAATAATGACATAAAGTGTTTAAGTTACTTGCACTTTACGTGTAGTGTGGCACTGATAGAGTACCATATTCCACATTTTCACAAAACCTTGAGTCCAGAAGAATTAATCAAATCAGAAAAAGTCTTAGCCACTTTCTGGTTAAAACAATGCCATTATATAATGATTAACTATAAAACTTGAGAGGATGGAAGCCATGCAGCAGCATCGGATTGTCTCAATCAGCATTTATGTAAACTACTTACAAAGTTAGTAATATCTACTTCCGAATTATGTTTATCATGCTTAGCATAGTAAATTTAGCACTAATAACTATTTGAAACGGCTTTTCTTGGAAACGAGATATTAATATTACCACAAAAGAATATCACAAAAAAGACTTAACTATGCATAAATATTCATTTTGAAAATTAGCTGCGTCGGTATAGTTTAATCGCTTAGGTTAAAAGTTGCTTAAATAAGAAACCTTAAAAATTGATTTCCATAATTTTAAGATATATTCTTGAACGTTGGTACTTTTATTTCCATCTGGGAGTTTTCCGATTCATACTAAAATGACTAGAAAAAAGGAAGTTGCCCTTGAAAAATGAATTTAACGTCCACGATATTTTATAAATAGTAGTTTAAGTAAACTGATTTTTTTCCATAGAGATTTGACCAAAAAAAGTTAAAAACAGTCCAGGCAACAACTCTTTGACACAAGAACATCTTATTGTACATCACCACTTTTATTTGCTTTCATAGAAATTGTTTAATTCACTCGGTAATTAGATGCCCTCTTTTTCAGGTTCTACTGGGATCTCCTAATGCTCACACTTTTGATTGCCAACCTCATTATTCTTCCAGTTGCCATCTCATTTTTTTACGACGACCTTCGAGCACACTGGATTGTATTTAACTCTGTTTCAGATGCAGTTTTCATCGCAGACATCGCAGTTAAATTCCGCACGGGTAAGACGACGAACATTTTCGTGCTACCAATTTGTTTCACTTTAAACACTAGAAAGGTACACGGAGTCGACTTAAATAATGATCAGTAATCGGTGGTTTTTCAAGTTAGAAACACACTTACACATTTAAGAATTTTACCTTAGTTTTAAATTGCTGTGATAACTATAATCAAAAACAAACGTAACCTTCGGGCCAACTTTTTGCCAAATTATTATTAACATTTTAATAGAACGTGTCACTTAAGATTCTAGTAGTTGAACTTTTGCCTTCACCACCTAGGGACAAAATTTTACAAGTCCAGGCTTTAAGAACAACTATTTTGCTGTTTTGGTAGAGCCAAGTTAAGTTTTAAAAAAAGTATGTAAACTGAAAACCCTCATGTTTCGTATGCACTGGCGTCATTTTAGTGCAAATAAAATGTCGTAAATATAGATAACGAATTTTTTCTCGAAAAGGCAAAATCCACCAGGGTGTTGCAGAAATTGTCGGAGTTTAGTGCTTTCACAGTTGTAGGGTCAAATAAATATGACTACTAAAACTCATGTAGTGTAATTATACTGAAGCAAATAAGAATATTGTAAGCTGAATTTTCCCTACTCCTGCATAAAGAGACCTGCATTCGGCGGTCTACCCGGTTAAACATTTTGACGTCATTCTGTTGTCATTTAATCGTTTATAAAAAAAAACTAGAAAAGTGAGTCAAGTGGGCAAAACAGCAGCCTTAGAAGTTTGCTTTGATTTCAATACGCAGAGATCTTTTAACTTATTAGGAATTATCTTCAATAATGCACCATTCACTTATGGATGTTGACACCATCACCAATTCCAGGTGTTCGAACCCTATTGATGAAATATTTTCTGTTTCGTGCAATAATTTCTTGTTTCATTAACATAGTAAAAATAAACGTTCATTTTACAATTAATATTGCAAATGGAAATGGTTAATAAAGGTCGAGAGTACGCCAAAGGAAAAATTCACTGATAATTGTGGCTTGTGATATAACCTTGGTTTTGCTGTTTTCACTGGTCTTGATAAGTCTCGTACACTTTTAAACAGCAAATATAACAGTTTTCAATTGGTCCGACTGTTACTAATAGTGTTTGTAATATTTTGAAATTCAATTACCATTGCTTACCAGAACTCAAGTTGTCACGTTCCATCACCATGAACCTGTGAATTTTATATGGAGACCAAGGATGGTAGCATTTGTAATTGCGGCGCTAATTGTTGGTGGGCTGTTTTTGCTATTGTTAGCTGGACACACAGGGATATTTGTTAGATTACAATTCCAAACGTTTCACCTTGTCCTGCAGCCTTCTAGCAGTGAGAAATAAGGTGTTGTAATGCAACTTGCAAACAGTGAAGCCACGGTGACTGATGCCTCTTGGTGGTGTTTAAGATCAAAAGCGCCGTGATAACCAAGGCTTCGGTTGCTAAGTTTAATTGAAGCACTTGATGCAAATCCATCAGTAGTGCTTTTACAAAGTAGAAATCGCTATTTATAAGAACCACTAATCATGGATATCAGAGTAGAAAACCTGAAATTGCTACTACTAATACTACTGCTACTACTACGTGTACCGAAATTCATAGAGTGAATCTGGCATGCCTGATGTGGCGATAGGCAAAATTATTACGTAGTGATGTGTCAACAAATAAACTAAAAAACTACGTGTTGTCAATTAGTTTTATTAATGAAAACCCTTAAATTGTCTCCAATCAGCGCTGCCTTACTTAATTTGCGAGAATTAAATCTTATAGACAATCAAACTGAAATTAATTACTTTTGTTAAATTTTACGTCAAGAAGAATGCACACAAGAGTGATTAACGTAAGCAGACGTACTTAAATATAGCGGTGTTTACATCAACCATCACGTTTAAAGATAACGTATTTTGCGACATCAAAACAACAATTTAATAGAAAAAAACTGCTGAGTGACAAATTCAAATGCCTTCAACCAGGATGGCATGCAAGTCTTATCATTAAGAAATTTCTAGTCATGTGGTACATGGGGACCTATTTTTGCCGATTCTGTGTGGACAGTTTTTATTTTGTTGTAAAATAAGAAGAAGCTTGATCGAGTTTCTAATGGAAGCTATAAATGTCACTGTGGTTGAAAGCCACAAGCTCTAAAATGATCATGATTGCAAATTTAACTACATAAGCAGTTAATTATTAAAGAGTTATATTTATGCGCATTGTGAAATGGGGTCAGTGACATGGTTTTCGTAAAGTGTACTTACTTATGCGTGAATGCATCGCCTCAAATTGACCAAGTGACGATAAATCAGGCAGATTAGTGTATTTTTCTTCTATAGAATGTTATGTTGAAATGACTAACACTAACCTAAGAGTAATATTATTTATTGTCTTCATCATGTGCAGTGGTGTGTTGATACTCGACCTTTACGGAGCGAATTTTAAATTACAGGCGATCATTGGTCTCTAGCTAGAAATTTTTAACAACATTAGGGATAATTGCGAATGACTACGCAGATGAAATTATCCTCGATCCCAAGGAAATCGCCCGTCAGTATGTTCGATCGTGGTTTTTACTTGACCTAATCAGCTCAATCCCCATGGATTATATTTTTTGGGTGCTCAATAAACACGAAAACTACAACCAGATACTGACTGCAGGTAAGCTGAATTACATATTAATAACATTTTCGGTACGCACTTAATCAAAATTTTTAATATTTACTTTCCAACAAATTCTCGAAATCTTTTTTACTATAGCATAGATAAATTCTGAAGAAGTAGCCTCTCATGATTTAATCGCGCAGTCTTAAATAAATGCTAGGGTTTTAATTTAGCGGGTCACAATGTAAACGACAGACACCAAGTAGGCGTGTGTCCCGCAGATGTCTTGACCGAAAGGGGACACTGACGAATGACAACATGCTTTTAGGATGCCATAGTCATCGGATTTATTTTTAAAATGCATAAATGCCTTTTAATTGAAGGACGCACGCTACGGATCTTGCGGTTGGCCAAATTGCTCAGCATGCTTCGACTTTTACGCCTTACAAGACTTGTAAGATACGTTAGCCAATGGGAAGAGGTAAGAAGCTAATCCATAAATTATTGATGACTCCTTTATGGACTCGTAACTTAAACTTTGTCCACCAGCTTCAATGAAAAAAATCTGTACCATCTTTTCACAAAAGATTTAAAGCGCGAGATTAAAAAATTGGTTTCCAGTTATGTACTATGCCATGTAATAAACGGAACCTTACTCCAGTTTTTTTATTGTAAATAATGATAAACAAAAAATCTAGAAACTGCTAAATGGTACTCCAAAGCGAGATCAGCGTCTGTGCTACCATCAAAACAGCTTTACCAAAAATCTATCATTGGCTGTTCTTTGCACCGGCTCTTACTTCCTAACTAATGTCTTGTTATTGGCGTGCATTTTAATTTATGAAATGATGCTTAAGTAACATATTTCATGTTTGTTTTAATTGTTGCGAAAACAATTTACGCCTAATGTTTGAATGTTAATGAGACAACACCACCTGAATAAATAATCAATACTCTGTTATTAGTGAATCACCGGTTTGGTGGTAAATGAAAGATATTTACTCTTCTCTAGTTCCTCAACATTGCCAGTAAATTCATGGGCATTTTCAATCTTGTTCTTTTGATGCTACTTCTTGGTCACTGGAACGCCTGTCTCCAGTTCCTCATTCCTCTCCTCATGGACTATCCTGAGGATTCCTGGGTCCAACGGTGCAGGCTTAAGGTAGGACATTTTGCTTGTCACCCCAAGGAAAATTCAAATGCACTTATTATTTGAGATGACGCATTGTAGATTCAGTTTGCAGTGAACATTCGATGCTAGCTTCTAGTATTCCATTCAGTTTCTCACTACTTTAAAAATGCGTTCTGTTATTTTGTAATAGGTTTGATTGGAAATGGTAAAACACAGCCACCCAGAAATGTGTTCAATCCAAAACGGTATTTTTCATATGTGGAGAGGGTCAAGATTCCGCACCTGACAACAAATACTAAAATTAGGTCTGGCCAGGGACTTAAAATACAGATTGACGAATACCAAAAAAATATATTCACTTATTTGTAGAGCCTATAGTTATTCCACCTAAGCTGAAGTAAAGAGAAGGACTTATCGACTTTACCAACGTTCTGTTTTAGTTGTAATCATTTTTTAGAAAAAATTTGTGTGCAGTAAAGCTAGTACTGACACCAGTAAGCACCAGTTCGTAAAATGAGTTCGTTCACACCCACCTTATTGTACGCTTGCCACTGAAATGTTTGCTTACCTTACATTAACACTACTGTATGTGTGAAAAATTACGAGATGCCGTCTAATATTTTTAGTTGGGATTTTAAAGCGCATTATTTTGCACTAATTTCTGTAAGCACCGCTACTCCCTTGAAATTTTGAAAAAAACCTATTTTGATTTGAATCACTGGGGAGCAGAAATGTTCAGTGGAAATAAATGTAACAAAATGTTTGAGAATTAATGCGAGAATCGACATTGTCAAGTAGACCTTGATTAAACATTTCTCACATTGTCTCTAAGACTGGCGCTTGTTTGACACCACATGGCAACACATTTACGTTTTCTTTTGGAATAAAGTAATGAACGAAAAGTCTATTCAAGATGCAATGGGAAGGCATATAGATAATTAGGGCTTTCAATTTCACTTTTTAGGATTGATGTAATTTGAAGTGTCTGGATGGCCTTATTAACTCTGAAAACTAATTTTTTTTCCTAGGTTTTAGGATTTCGGTTTTGGAACGGCAAGTAATTTTAAAAGAATCGACTTCAGTTTAAAAGAACCTGCCTAAAACTGTCTTTTAATAAGGTTTTTGCATGCTTGAAAACTACAGCCGTTTGAGTATTCTCTTAAAGTTTAAACCAATAATGTGGGATTAAATGTTTTCAAATGGAATTTTATGCATTACCAAATACGATCTTAATCGTTAAATGCATTGTTTTCGGCAGCTATCTAGTCAATGGAAAAGGCTTTGATTTTATTTTTCATCGAATGTGCTCAGCGTCTTTGAGAAATTCGAATCCGTGTACATTTTACAGTTGAGCGTTTGCATGGACCAATGAAAAACTGAGAGTTAAAAATAAAAGAAACACACACGTTTAATGTACCCTAAATGCCAAACATCAACAGTATTTGGTGCTTCCATGATGGAGAATTCCAGTCTGGGTACATTTGACTATTTTACACCGTCATCTATCAAACACCAGCACTGATTTTTTTAAAAGAAATTGGCATAGACGTTCGTTCACTAATTTCTTGTCATTCTTTTGCAGTAATCTTTATTTTTCCTTCAGTGCTTACGCATTTATGTGTCTAACTTAAAGAAATATGTTAAAGGTCTGTGCCATTAAGGTTACCGGCTTAATTCCAATTGATATTAATGATATGCTAAGTTGCAGTGGTGCAAGGCGTGCGGCGCTTTCTGCAACCAAATTGTCGAATTAATGCTTTTACTACCGCAATTTCCCAAAACCACAGGGCATGCAGTGTCTCGTTTAACAAATCTTGGTTTTAAAAGTCTCCTCTCTTTTTGCTTTGAGATTGAGCATGTATTTTTTCTCAAAAGAATCGTCCCTAACCATGAACCGCACCGGTGCTGCTACACTGGTGAACGGAAAGATCAAGAAGTCAGCAGACGGAAGAGACTACCGTTTTATAAATAGCTCGACCTAGTTGTGTGTCGCGCCTCTGTTCATAAAAATCCATGTCTGATAAATGGGGATCGTTGTTTAAGCAGTCGGGTTTCAGAAGATTCGTTTCTTATAGCCTTCAATTTGAGCACGTTTCGTGGCCTTGAAACGTTGCTATCAAACACATTCATGTTTTTTTAACGAGTGATTAAGGATCTTGGTGATGACCCAATATGAAAAATCTTACTGCTTTGACTTGGAACCCTACCACAGAATGGCACACTCACCAAGTGGCTATGTTATCATCAACTGTTGTCTTTACAGCGCACATATTTTACGACCAACTACTAATTATGCCATCAATTTCTACAAAGTCTGCCCTGGGTTTTCTCATCTGTCAATAACTATTTTTAAAGCTACCTCAGGGTTATTCGCGCAACATTACCACCTTCTTCTTAAAATAATCAACACTCAAAATTGAATTTTCCTGAAATAATAGAAATAAAACGGGACTGAAAAGCATTGTTCATCAAAGGGCATTTGAGAGTGATGGTGCTAAGAGTTCACAGGGCCTTAGGAGCTCGTGATCGTGTCCTTTTCCGTGTCTTTTCTTCCAGATTTTTTTCCAGGGTTTTTGGGGGCTGTCTTGAGTATTAACTTTACGTACACGATAAATGTTCATTTTAAATAGTTAGAATAATTATTCCTTTTTTTCGCTAAATTTCGGTTTGACACATATCTTAGACATCGCGTGGCATGATGACTTCCCTTTTACATAGACGACTTCACTGCCAAATTGACTTATCAAAACAACCTTCAGAAACTATCAACATAAGGTTGCATCCACAAAATTTTAAGCAAAATAATTTTCATGTCAATTTGGTCAGTTACCAGGATAGCTTAGCAGTTGTATTACTGGGGCCGTGGGGCTCACGCAATCGAGCTTACTCTCCCTCACGTGGAAGGCCCAAAATATCACGGTATCCAGCAAGATGTACAGGGCGTTCCTATGGTCGACACCGCGACCCTTTTATAATTATATTGCAGGCATTTTTTATATTAAATTAAGTTTTTTTTGAACGCAACACCCTTTGTGCCTCGAGAGTTGAAACTTAGGCCTTTAATAGTGATAATTCCTTTAAATTAATCGCAAACTTATGAAGCAGTTGATCAGATTAGCAAAGGTTTAAGTTCCGTCACATTTCAATCACACCAGCCTCCTACGAATTATGTCAGGATAAACTAAATCGGGATTCTATTGTATCGTTGGCAAAAGGAGATGACCCTACTGAAAAGAGGTAGTAAGTAAGTTGTAATTTCGGTTGTTTCATAACGTCAACTAACACCCCAGGGATTGATTAAGATTATCTATTGCACAAGCACATACTCAAGTCAATGCTACAGCGTTTTGTCTTATCAGAAATAACTAACAAGACTTCGCGCAGAAAGGTTCCAGCGTCTCAGCCTGAGAGCCAAAAATTAATTTCTTGTCAGATGGCTCCGTGGACGTCAACTGTGGATTTGGAGGACAACAGAATGTTCTGTCAGATTTCATCTGATGTCGGCATTTTTCCACGAGGTTTGAGAATGATCCACCTCAAAAAGTCAACGAACCGTTTGGTCTGCTCATTTGACTGCGTGTTGTGGAGAAGTAAGCTATTGAGTTGCATACAGAATTCGTGAAATTGCTATGATGTGAACTAAGAGCCATTGTCGAAGACTTTACCTTCCGTTATCCCAGGCGAGCCGATAACTTGGAATAAGGCATTTAATGTCCTTGTTGTCATGTGGGAGGTCAAAGGAACAGTCTTTGGTTATTTTGAGTAGACGTTAATCCGTAAGGGGTGAGGTTTCCCACTAATAAGTCCTGCAAAGTCAAGGTACTATCAGGGGAACTTTTGAAGTTACCCAACAAAATATTAACTGTGGATATGAGTGTTAGGTATTAAAAACTTTTTGCCGTAAATCATTTTAAGTACCTCGTGGACAAGATTCCTCTTGCATTTGCGCAGTAACTTGGATTCTGTGAACGCAGTTAACTACAGTGCTCATTGCACGTGGATTATTTCAGCTTTTTTGGAATCGTCACAGCGAGGTATTGAGTGTGAAAATTCATTTACAGTCATTATAACTTTAAATAATTTAATCTCATCATATATTTTACAATTAAAATACATGTCTTACCAATAAATATGGCGTCGAAAATGCCTGCTTATTTGTTTATGAAACGAACTACATGGAATTGGGTTTTTAATTGGCCCTGGGTAAGCTTTTATCAGTTCTTAGTTTAACTACACGAAAATAAAGTATAATAAATTGAAAATCATTAAAATCATTTCTTAGAGAGTATTAAGGCTTTAATGTGGACGTAGAACCAAGTCTGGATCGGTAGTGGGACCTCAGACTTAACATCCCCCAGAGTTTCAAACTTACACGGTGCTAGATGTTTCGTTTAAACTGACTTAGGGAAGTCGACATCAGCATACGTTTAGATTTCAAGAATAATTATAAACGTCTTTTTGGTTACTGTAGTGAATTTTACAGGTGAATACAAAATTACTGAGTAAATATCTCATTTATGTTATCTGATGTGACGCAAACTACATAAAACCATTTGATTTCAAAAGCAATTTTATGAATTATTGTCAAAGTGATAACTGTGGGTGCCTCACTAGTTGTAAAACACACAGTGAGCTATGTGAAGTGTACAGGTAAGGTTAATTTAAAAATCTCCCTGAAATTCATTGTCCTTCGCAGGTAATCAGACTAGAAAACCGCACATTAACTCTTTTTGATGTGATCGATGGACTTCTGGAAGTCCCTCAAGTTCTTGTTTGGAGTTGCAAAAGAAACATTTATTGCCGCCTCCGTCGTCCCACCCCGATGTGCAACCAGCTGAAACAAATAAAATCTTATTCGCTTATGGGTAGTGCGTCCTAATTGGATGCCATCTGGACATAAAAAAGCACAAGAATAAACATGAGGAAAAAAGTGACTGTGCTTAAATTAAACCACCATCAAATTTAAAAGAATACTGCGGTTGCAACTTGCAGTCATGCCATTAGCAGGTAATTCCTAAACCAAAAGTTTCAAATCACTCTTTTTTGCTGGTGGCATGTTTTACCCAACAACTGAAATATGTTTCACTTGCTTTTAACTCAGCAAGATTGGCCGAAAGACACACCTTTTGACTTCTGATTACGTGGATTGCCAAACTCTTGCAAGGCAAAACCATATGCCGGTTTTTCCCTAGCAGTTAAATAGATTTACGTCAAGTGTATTTAAATTACTGCAATTTGCAGCTTTAGAAAACGACTGGATTGTAAAAATGACGATCAATATGACCGAAGTCGGCCAAAGCAACTATGATGCTTTAAAGTAAACCATTAAGTGACGCTCACAACTAACATTATTTTTTGATTGTTCTACTGAACGGTTTTGAATAAAAAAACAATTTTTAATTAATAAATGTTTTGTGATAGTGGTTTGAAGTTGAATTAGGTCTGAAGTACCTACAGGTGTTTCCGAAAAATGACTAAATATGCTTATTGTAACCTTTAGAAATTACTAACCAGACCCTGGATATTTACACCACTTACCAAGAAGACTGTTTTAGATGTCCACAATGCAGAATGTTATCCATCCAGTTATCCTGAAAATGTCGGTATAGAATGTTGAAAATACACAACCTTAGCAGATTCAACAATTTTTGCTTTCTAGTAAATTGTTGTCCCTCAATGTTTCACAGCTATAAAAGTGTTGGGATGGTGAGTGGTGCTAGTTAAAAGAACTCGGTGCAGTTATTAGCTCCTTTAACACACTCATCTATGTATTAAACTGTGAATATTTGAGTGAAGCAACAGTGCGACATCGGCGATTTTTTCTAGAAAACCGGAATAAGTAATTTTTGTTTCAAAGCCATTCAAATCATTCGGATACATGTAAGCTTTGCACTTCGGAGATGATTATTGAAAATCAAACTCAAGAAACATAAAGAAGTAGATTCCGGTATGCATTCTGACTAATGAATTTATTGGTATTTTGAATTGCTGAAATTGACAGTTTTGTGGCTTTATTCATGGGCTGTCAAGACCTTTTTTATTTAAATTGACATTGACAATCCCTTGCCTTCCCACCCGTACCTTTTTTCTTGACCAAACTGGGGTAAATGACAAAACACTTTACTTGGTCAGTACCACGTGATTTTTTGGAAACTCGTGGGCTGAGTAAAAAGAAATTTCGTGGGCTGTTGTATTTCTGCGCCGAGCATAGACAAAATGTCGCCTGTTCTGGAGCCTTACGGTGTTTTAGTTAATGAAAACAAGCTTCATTCAAAGGTCTAGCTTTACTATTGTTTTAATCCTCATAATAGTGAAGGCAATCGATTTTTTAAGTGAATGCATTTATTTTGTTATTGCATTTTTAGTTAGAAGTCCTACCGCTAATGCCATCCGATTTGAAACTTGAAGATTTTTTCCAAACATAAATGTATAGTTTCAATTCTGTGGGTCCTTACACAGGCGAATTTTAGCAAAAGGCAACATGTTAACAACGGTTTTGCACAATCCAGCCTAGAAGTACTGACGTGTCTTTATCGCCTATAACACTGTTCTAATATAAAAATTTTGTATTAAGGTATGATTTATGACACTTAATTTCGCAACGATCTGGATCTCTGTAACTAGATTTTTTCAAATGAGGATTGAAAGTAAATTTATATTCGCACTAGAAATTTTCATGGACATCAATGTTGGCGTTTTAGTGTACTTTAACTTTTGTCAGTAATACGCCATCCTACATAGCTTCTTTGATATGAATTTTCCATGTTCAACATCACTTAATTTGCTTGTCTACAGTATCTGGTTTTGATTAATGACAAAGTATTTGATCGAGCACTTTTCTTAAAGCTTGTATAGAAGTCCCACATTGCATGCAAAGATTGAGAATTCATTCGAATTCTCGTGTTTAAAGCAAACTGTTCAGAGCGTCACCCAGTCACTTTTGAAAGTTGTTCATTTGTCGACTGTCGAGATCAAAATTACCAAAGTGCCTGTTAATATAAACAAGCAAATCTAGTAAGTGATTAATAACGACGACGAATCTCATTTTTGTGATTCATTCGAGATGTGATGTCAGAAAGGCAAGATTATAAAGCACGGATCTTCATTTGGGTGGGTGGCACGATCCCCGTTATCGGCAATCAATGATGTGCCTTCTTTCAACTTAGGATGCAGACTGGTTCGAGCAGTACACCTGGGCCCTCTTCAAGGCCATGTCCCACATGCTATCGATTGGGTACGGCAGGTTCCCTCCCACGAGCATCAGCGAGGCCTGGATCACCATTGTGAGCATGATGACCGGCGCCACGTGCTACGCCCTCTTTGTCGGCCACGCAGCGGCCCTCATCCAATCCTTCGACACGTCTAAGCGACTGTATCGGGAGAAGGTAATACTTTACCGTTATCAGACAGGCGAACACTTGTGCTAACCATATATAGGCCTAATAACTGTCCGAATTCGACTTGTGCGTGGTCAAGAACAGGACATAAAGTTACCTATTAATTTATTTACGATTAAGCAATAATATTCCTCACAATAAGCACAATAGGCGTCACAAAATCTAAAGTTACGAAATTGGAGGCGTGTTTGACAATCCTTTTAATAATTCGGTTGTTTTATAAACCAACGCCACTTTTTACAACCGCAAAAAAGCAGATAAAACTTGTCTGAAATGTTTTCCACTTTACTTACTTATGAAAAGTACACAAAAATGGGATTGAATACAATAGAAATAGATTAGTTCATGAGTAAAAAGCGTGTTTACAAAATTGAAGGACTTCTTACCGTGAAACAAAGTAATTCGAGGCAGTGCGACATCTGATCTGGAGTATTGTTTCTTAAACAAATACAGTAGTAATTTAATACCAGGAGTGAATTGGTTAATAACATAAACAACAGCATTAATTATTAAAAGCCTTATTCTTGTACATAAACGAATTTCCGGTACGGAAATTTAGGATTCCACATGTCAGGTGTGCTGAGTTTACACAGGTTACGTAAATTTTTAGGTTCTAAAAAGAGAATGTTTTTTTCAAGAAATACAACTAGGCTTAAATTAATGTAATAATTAGCTAAAAGGCAATATAAAAAGGTGCGAAGCTTGCAATGCAAAATTAGCAAAGGCAGTTATACCCATTGCTAACACCCACAAATATTTTACAGTAAAGTCGCTTGATGTGGACAGAATGAGACTTCTAACGTTGTTTTGATTACTATTTGGCATTATTTAGACGCTGAAAAAATATTTAAATATCTTACCTGCCAGTATGGAGGTCACGATACTTTTTTATAAGTGTAAGTTTACTAAATTCAACCGATGGAAGCAGTGAGCCCGTCACAACAGATCCATCCAATAATTGATCTATTTAAAAAAATTGAATCCTTGGTTATAGGTCTAACTGTTGTCTAGATTTACCGCTTGCGCAGCAAGTAACAGTGGCAGGTAAACAATAGAACCTTAGAGATTGCTCAATTAAGTAGAAATAGAGTTGATAGGTTAACCCAATCATATCAAAAAAGCCCTAATCAGCAAAATGGAGAACTTTAATTATGCAAAAATAAGTAACTACGACATTCTAGTCGTAACTTATAGAATTAGTCAAACTTAGCCTCAACTGGCTGCCTTACATTACAAAGAAGCAAGTGATCATTTGTCAGAACAGAAAGGCATTAAGTTAAGTGGTTGAAAATTTTTTAACGGCGTGCTAATGGCTAACTACTGTGCGGTTGGTTAAAAGTTTGCAATAATCAATCTCCAACCGAATATAATGGCTCACAAACATACCTGACCCCAGGATCACAGTTAATAATTAGGGACATGCAGTCAGATTTAGTCGCTACAGAAATTGGGCATTATTCAATTTATTTCGACCCTACTAGAACTGATACTTGTCTGCGTTTGTGCTTCTATGTATTTGTGTGAAAAATAATTTAAATTTTTTGAAATGTTTTTTTTTGTTTCAAGGTTATTGATGCTGTACCCACGTTTAGGCATAAAGATCAGGTGTACGTAAATGGTGGTCATAATTAATTATGTTGACGTCACGGCATAGAACATGATATGTAGATTTTTTTATTGTGAATTTTTTAAGGCAATAGTTATTCAATCTGCTTTGGTATGTAGTTGAGCCATTTGGCTAAGCTAACGCAGAAGCATCACGAATATTGGAGGGGGTGAATTGGCAAGGTGCCTGAATTTACGTTGACGGTGATGAAAGACGGGAATTAACTCAAATCATTACGAATGATTTTCGCATGGGTCCCACAACTCTCAAGATGTTTGTAAAGTAACCGCATGCCTAACAGGAACAAACTGCATTTATTTGGAATCTAGGAAAAGAGAGTCTTTCTTTGTAGAGCTATATAGATTGGACTTGACTCTTATGCTTTATTTTGTTGTACATGGCGACAGTCACAAAAAATACTACCAGAGCACAGAAGGAGATGCTTTCCAATGGTAATGTACGATTCACTTACGCCTTTACTTAGAACCGATTGACTCTAGTCTGATCCCTGTTCTATCACACGAATGGTGCATAGTTAATGGGGATTTCCTGACTAAAAAAATCAATGAGAAGTGTATCTACTCAGGTGAAACAATATTTTGGCCATTAAATATTGATGTCAGCACAGTAAACTCTATTGGTTTTGGTATCATTCTTATTATTGTAAAATTGAGTCTAAACTCATGATTAATGTGTTGATGCCAACCTGATCAAGTAATCTAATTTTCAATATAGTGGGCAAAAATGCGTGGAGGCGACTTCTTGGTAGCATGTGAAAAAAACCATTTTGGCACAAAAGCAATAAGAGTTTTTATTAAAAATTTTCTGGATAGTAGTTACTCACATTTTGGCTTATTACAGTAACGACTGTCGCATTAAATAGTATACACAAAAATTTAAAAATAAGCATAGTCTTAAGCGTGATTATGTTGCACTAAACAAACCTCTTTAAAGCGGACTTTATTTGTAAATTTGATAATTTGTAGGAAATAAAAATAAACGGAATAAAATTTTAGGATGCAACTTGCCAACAAATGTTCCGAATAGGGTTATAACATTAAGTTCCGTTTTTTAAAGCCTTTAAAAATTTGGACTGGGTTGCTTCTGAGCCAAGCTATAGATGGAGTTTGGTGTCTCCTTTCACAAGCAATTTGTCTGGAGTTTTAGCGCGGAAAATGCACAAGTGTTATTTTCGTTTTAAAAATACACGTAAAACATTGCGTCAAATGCTCAACAAATGTGATGTGGAATTTGTGACCAAAATATGTTAGGAAATCTGCTCTAAATAATTAGACGCTATTAACATGACAAAAATGATTCTAAATGCAAAGATCTTTCTCGAATCCGTTTGTTTGTTGTGGACACAGGTTTGCCTGCCTCGATCACAAAAGCCGAAGCAAATTTTGCGTTAAGTTTGGCGGATTTATTTAAATTTTAGAACTAAAACGCATTGGTAATGAGGCAAGTAGTAGCATGGGAAAGATGTGAGATACAGTTTATTACAGTTAAAAGCAACATGAAGCTAATAAATTAAGCAGTTGTTTGTCGAATCTGTCTACAATCGCTAACATCCAGAAACAACTGACAAAGGCTCATCGTGTGAAAACGGTTTTCAATGGAATCGAAACACAAGCTAGGGGGGAAATTACACTTTACAATTTAAACGGCTGGCTCAAAGCTTTTTATATTGTGGTACTGCAAATAATTTAATTTTCAACAGGCTGCGGCTTAAGTGATTACATTTAAAATGTTTGGTTTCAACCTTCTAATGACCTCAAGCTAGCAAATATAATGAATGCGTGCGTGTGTGTTTGCAATAAGGAAAATTGTAAACTCCGGATTCAATATAAAAAATACCATTATGTTAGCCATCAAAATGCACTTTTTTTGAAATTTTTAATAATGCTAGTTTTTTAACTTCATTCATGCTAAAATTAAAAAAAAGATATCAAAGGAATGCCTCATTGAAATCGTTATTAGTTATTATTGAATTGTACAGACAACACTCTATTTACAGTAGTATAAAAGCTACTTTACTAGAGTCCTGACATCCTTGCGAGCTCCTCTGAACAGCTGAAATCAATTTATGGTTTAATTAATAAAGTTCTTTTTAGTTGTTTTGTCTTAACCAACGAGGCCATAGTAACGTATTACAATTTAACAGATTTCTTCTTACTCTACTTGGTACCTGCGAGTCAGTGATGGCAAAATGCCCCTGACGCCTCCACGTCATCACTAATGCTGTCATGTACAACAGAATTCACTTTTTGTAGTAGCCCAAATGCAGTTTTTTTGTTAAGCCAAGTAAAATGAGCAAACAGCTTGATGGCCCTTGAAACTGTGCATTTTTCTAACATTCCAATGATGAGGAGCACTAAATAAAGATGGGAGTGATATAAAATTAAAACAACTTTGTGGTCAACTGAATCACCTTCACTTTATCTGTTTCAAGTCAGTTTTTTTTGCATTGCAGTTCAAGCAGGTGGAGGAGTACATGGCCTATCGCAAGCTGCCTCGAGCGCTTCGTCAGCGCATTGCCGATTACTACGAGCACCGATATCAAGGCAAAATGTTCGACGAGGCGCAAATCCTACAAGAACTTTCCGAGTGTCTGAGAGAGGTAATTCATTGAACATGTGGTTTGCAGACTTAGGGCTTTTTGAAAATGAATGAATTGAAAAAATACGAATTCGCAAATTTTTATTAGAGGTAAGCGCAAAAGGCAACAAAATTGTGTAAAAAACTTTTGGCCTGTTTTATTTGGTGGGTAATTCAGAAACCACATAAAGTTGGAAAGGAAAGGGTAGATGTCACGCTGAATGCTTTCCGTTTTTTTCATTTTTAAAGCTACAGGAAATGTGTGGTGGTGTATCAATATTGAAACAAAGGTTAAGCACGGTAAAACTTACAACTTTCAATCTCATTTGACTTGGTATCGGTCTGCGACTTTTCAGACCATACAGGAGAAAAGTAGGTTAAGTAGGTTTGCAACAGTAATTGTAAAAAAGGTAATTTACTGCTACATTTGGGGAACTGATTAATCACATAGCATTAGTAAAGTCGCATGGTGTGTTTCCAAGAATTTACAAAACATTTTATAAACTTTTACCGAAACGTATAACATTTTGCCATTGAAATTAAATGGAATACATTAATGATCACCAAACTTAAAAATCACAGTCACTCGCGAAACCAGTACACACAACGAAAATCCTTTATAATACTCATTATAATTTTAAGGTAACACCAATCTCAAATAAAATAATCTGTTTCGTCCTTCTTTTTCATCAAAATCACACGTAACATTAACATTATTTTATAGGCCACCTAATTCTTTCTGCTATTTCCTTTCAAAGCATGCAAAAATGTCAACTTGGGCAATTAAAATTTAGTAATTTTTTATTCTAAAAAAGTTTATTTTTGAACAATAAAAAGTTTAAGTTTGTACTAGTACATTCAAAAAAATTAAGAAAAAATTTGAAATCCTGGTGTTCCACCAACTTTTACAAACATGCAAACGGAAGTAGTAAAGAAAGGGTAAGCTGTAAGTACAGCATTCTTACACTTGTTTGCACAAAATTAACTTTTGAGGGTGTATCAAGTGTATTTACAGTTAAAAAAGGAAAGTGATTATGTTATTTATCCGAATGTATTCGACCTATTCAATAAAATGACTCTGCTAATGTTTTGCAAACAGGTTTACGACTCAAAAACCACTTGTCAGTGTGATGGGTTTTCCTGTTATTACTTGGCATATTTGTTCTGAGTATAATAAAAAAACTAGCGTAGGCCGTAAAAACGCAAGATAAAAGAAAGTTTCTTAAATAGGCAACCCACAGGAAACATTGCGATTATTTAAAAGCAACAAATTGTCGAAATATAACCAGCAGTGCAAAGTTAAACTGAGAGGAAAGACAACATCTGTTTTGAAACTTAAAAATAATGAATGAGTTTGTTTAAGAATTGAAAAAAGCCAAATAGTTTTATACGTAGAATGTAATTCATAATGTCAAAACCATGACACCCGAAATGTCCCGGTTGAGCCATTTTTAAAAGGTTAATTTTAAAGGCTATATTCCAATCACAGTACATAATCTTGTAAAATCACAAATATGCTCGAAATTTTATACCTAAAAGTTAGCGTTTGCCGAGGTTTATTTTTTCTATTTTGGCCTACAGAATGACCAACGAATTAAGTGCTGTCCCGGAAGCATGAATGTTGAACGATAAGGTTTAAGCTCATCTTCATCAAGGGTCTTGTCAAAAGTGACATTACCGTGTTCCAAATGATGCTAAATGAATTGTAACTAATTTTTTTAGCAAACTTGAGATTTATGTGACCTATTTTTTTAGAGCATTCATTGTACCTCATGGAAATGAAATTACTGATCTACTTTGTCTCCAGATTTGCCTTCCATTATGGAACCGGGGACAACAGATTAGTAATTTAGGTAGTAATTAAAATTATAACAAAATAGTAGAGTTTAATGTCACAGGACTTAGTGAGAAAGAAAACTTTTACAAAGCAAACGACATGTGTTAAAACCGTTAGGAGTTGGGCAAAAAATGCATGTAAAAAATGTACCAAAACATTGAAAGTCTCTATTGTCGACGCCTGTAACGAAATATTCTTGTAATTTACTAGTCTTACGTCTATAAAAATAATTTTTTTAAATAGCTGAAAAATTATGCTAACAATAGAATAGCCTTCTTGTTGTGGTTATTTTTAAGGCAAGTAAGACAGACCTGATTGAGTTTATAATAAGATAATATTAACACAGATGTCATCTGTTTTTTTTTTAAAAAATTGATAAACACCATTGATCTTGCTCTTCACTGATAAAATATTTTGCATCCCAGCAGGAATCAAGTAAGAGGCTGCGTGCAAACTAAGCTAGTAAGGTTTGGTAACTAACAGTGTAAAATGGAATATTCTAATCTTTACAAAACCACCTCTACTGTTATCCTTTATCCCTGCAATTTCCATATTACCATTCCAATTTTTTTCAATTTCGATCCTGTGAAAACTCGTTGGTTACTTTTGCTTTGATCAATGAGCACTTGGCTAGATTAGCTTAAGCTTGCACTAGTCGAAGGTCAATCTGGATCAAATTCATAAAATGGCATTTTTCAAACTGGATGGTTAACCAGACCAGATTTACGTGGTATGTGCATGAGATAAATCAGTCAGAGTAGAGATAAACTCGAAAGCGCGTTAGAGTAATTTGTAGTTTGTGCTCAAAGCTGAGAAGAAATCATGATCATACACCCAATAATATACGGTAGTTAGTTTACAAATTGGGCTAAAAGTAATACTCATGTAGGGTGAACTATTCAAGACGATGCCCTTTGCGTTGGTTGAATTCGTGCATCAGGTGCATCGCTGATTAAAAGATCGCATTATTAATCTTGCTTATTTTTAAAAACGATTTGATTCAAAGTGTAAATGAGGCCTAGTAGAAGTCCCTTATTATTAAGGCAATTGGATGTAATGTAAGGCGATTAAGGCGGTAATTTCAGATAAAACGATGAAATTGCTCTACAGATTAGAATGAATGTACAAAATAAATGGGAAAGCGTTTTAACGTTAGCTGACAAAACCGGTTCTCCGCATCACGTTTAACATAAATACCACTGATAATTTTATTTTTTAGCAAATTATCAATTACAATTGTCGCGAACTCGTAGCAGCCGTGCCCTTTTTCACCTATGCTGATCAGGATTTCGTCTCAGAGATGGTGGCGAATCTGAAATTTGAAGTATTCCAGCCCGGGGATCTAATTATCAAAGAGGGTACGATCGGAACAAAGATGTATTTTATACAGGAAGGAATCGTGGATATTATTACAAAAGATGGAGAGATCGCTACAACCCTTTCTGATGGATCCTACTTTGGTGGTAAGCCATTGCATACTTCGTATACTTTAAGTCAATCTTTTCACTGTGTTGCAGCTTTTCACTTTGTTGGCATACGAATTTATAATCATAATGGGATTATCCGAAGAATATGAACTAAGAAATGAATTGACAGGCTACGTTTTAACGCAAACCTACTTTGTCACAAATGATTCCCATTTCAACTTAACAAAAAGGTGTATACTGTACACGAGTCAATGCAACACTAATGCCTGGGGGAAGGCAAAAGGATTGGTGCAGCTCAAATTAATGTCTCTAGAGAACCAGCTAACAAAAACCTGTAATATGGAAAAGTTAACGATTTTTTTGGATGTTGGACCAAGAGAAAACTGCATATGCATGCATGAGCAGGCATTTATTCAGGTTACTGCACATATAGTCATCCACAGAGTAGTAAAATAACGTTTGAATTAAGGAGCATGGCGCAGCCTGTAAAGTCATTTTAAATGGAGTCAGTTAAAGGTCAAAATAAATAAATAAATCTCATCTCTGATAGATAAGTGAATTTTTGGACGTTTCGGTTGCTACAACAGTTTAGTATGAAGGTTGGTAGTTGTATATTAACCAAATGATTCGGATGCAAAGACTAAGTGCAAAACAATGAATTATTGTACGCAGGTACAATTTTACACGATGAACGATTATTTTTGGTACAGATTTGTACACATGATAGTCACTTTTACTTCATAATTTAAAGTGTATTGATAGAGAAACAACCAAATCATGACATAATGATGTAACTGCGTTTTTTGATTGAAGTATCATTAAGATGTCTTTATACAGTGCACTGATATAATATGTGTAAAGAACTATCAGTACAACGTTAAAAGAAGTGCGTGCATTTGTGGAACCCTCGAGGACATACATTTCACGGACGACCTTTAGGCAGCCTTCCATGGTAGTGAACTGAGGAGAGAGTAAACGGTACTTTTTTTTCAGAAATCTGTTTGCTGACCAACGCGAAACGTGTAGCCAGTGTTCGTGCCGAAGTCTACTCAAATCTCTATTCTCTGGATCGAGACAGTTTTCTGACCGTGCTAAATAATTACCCCCTAATGCGTCGCACAATGGAGTCCGTGGCCGCGGAGCGTTTGAGCAAAATCGGCCAAAACCCCTCAATCGTGAGTGCGCGCGAGGACTTAAAAGCCGATCTTAGCCTGGTTAAGGAAATCGTGAGCTCCGTTGTCGAATCGGACAGTGATTCGAAAAGTGATGGCAACGATGTCGAAGGTGATGAAAAGAATAGGGAAAAGAAAACCATTGATCGGATTCGCAGGGTAATCCAAAAGGCCAAATCACGTAAGAAGCCCTCCAAACCCATCCAGGATAAGGGCGAAGTGGAGGCGATTCCGAAACAGGATTCTATCAATGGATCTACTGCGTCGAAATTAGATACATTGCAGAAACGTCAGCATGACCCTATCCTGTGCTTAAGTTCCGGGATGTCAAGGCTATTTAGACGCGGTGGAGTTTTCGGCGAGCATACGGATAGTGAAAGCGAGGCGTATCTATCATGGGACCGAGCTCGTCACCAGAGATTCTCAAGAACCCCTGCGCCTGTGCTGAGCACACAGCAAACCACTCTTCAGCGTGGCAGTGACTGTGAACACGCATTGTATAGTGCTCCATCAAGCCCGAACGAGACACTTCCCTTAATACGAGTTGAGGGGGCGTCGTCGGACCCTCTAGTCACTGACTCGGAACTCGCCACTCATCCCACATCGTCTCCTGCACTGCCACGCACATACCACGAGTGAGCTGATATTTTTTCATACACTTAGACCCTGTATTATCTTCGCTGGCGTAGTTGTGATATACCCGTTGAACCAATGTCCCTCCCCCACCCATAACTATCATTACTGTATGTCTCGACTTTACTACGCATACATATGTACAAACTTTGCATTTAGAGGAATAAAGGTGTCGAATGTCAAATCTTTATACGGGTCAAAGTGATTTACATTAATTAATGCAGCTTCCTTGTTAACAGAAGTTACATTTGAGGTGTACTCATCTGTGCAGCTAAGATGAAATTCATCTACCATTCATGTTTGTAGGCTAAAAAAGCATTGACGTAGTGACTGGCTGTGCGTATACTCCCGTTGCAAAAACGTCAGCAATCTTTAATGACTCTTTGCTTTAACTTGAACAAAAAGGTTAGCGTTAACTTTTGGGTTTGTTTAAATGGAAATTGTCAGATAGAATGCAGTCTCTACAGGGAACGGTAAAATTCCACACCCTTGGCTCTGTTTTGCAGTAAATTCCTCAATAGTTACTAATTAAGATCGAATTTGTAAACAAAGCTAGCAGCTGTGATTTAACTGATAATTAATACATGGATTAGTATTTTTACGTCTGTAGATTTTCGGTTTGCAGAAGTAAAAAACCAAAAACACCAAAGGAGACACCATGGTAGAAGGCCTTGGAAAATATTTAGTTTTAAAATCTACTTACTTTGTGTATCCTACATCAACTTGTGGTGCACAATAAGTCCACTTGTAAAGTAAAATATTAAAAAAATTTCATTACAACATTTAACACCGGTGCCTTATTTCGATTGACAACATTTACTAAACGTTGCACGTAGCGATGCACAGCAAAACTCTAGCAGACCTCATTGACGTTCCAGGTATTTGCCCAAGAAAAATTGTGTTGAAGGCTTTAACACATGGCGTCCCTGAAAAGCTGAAATCGTTAGACATCCTCTTTCTGAAGCAATAATCTAGCGCAGAGGATTGGAACTAAACAGGGCTACCTCAATCACCCAAACATGGCATTTATCTTTTTCACTGCCACCTTGGTGGGATGTACACTCATCACTGAAAACAAGTCGGCTTTCCTTCATATTTTTTCAAAGAAAAAATTATGTTTTTGCTTGTCACTTGGGTTTAAAACTGCACAAGCTGAGGCTTACAAAGGATTTGGTATCAAGCGTTTGCTCATGACTGGTTGAAGAGACAACTTGCTCTTCCCGCAACTTTCCTTGGTCCATGACTAAGTGCATCACAAAATTGACTCACTTTTGCATCTAAAAAATTCTGATCATCCAGATCTGTTTTTTCCGGCACCAGCAAGCCTTCCCTTAAAAGTTCCCTGAAATCTAGAACTAGTTTCAATTTGGCATAACTAAACTTGAAAACGATCCATAAATCCTAAGCTTTCAACTGTTCAATTTTTGATACGTTGCAAATTTCTTAACCACTTAAAAAATTTGTTTTGCGTTATTTGGCAACCTTATGTTGCCGACTTTTAGAGATACTTTTCAGTTCCATTATCTTCTCCTTACAAACAATATCTGAGATTCTAACTCTGTTATGTTTGCCCGTAACAATAGAGAAGATCACTCAAATAACGGTACCAGATCCCTTGCTGTAAGCTAGAACCGACCTTCCCAGGCTAATACCAGAACAAGAACAGAGCTCGAGTAGAGAGCTTTATTCACGTCAGCCACGTGCGGAGAAGAAGTGAAATCGAAAGTAATTCAAGTCAAGGTTGACCTTTACTTGATAAAAGCGCAAGAAAACAAATGTTAATAAATTAATGCAAATAAAATCAGAAACCAATCTTGGGGAATCGTGAATCCTCAACAAACTCCCAAAAGTGCTTCGCACAAAATCTGTTAGAACATGACCAGATAAATATTCTTAATGCTGCTCAACCACTTTTTTGCTTACTTTGAATTCTCGTAGTGAAACATTGAACTTTTGTGTTTGGTTCCTGATAACACTTTCCAAAACATCGTAGAATGCATTATAAACGACAACTTTGGCAACCCTATTAAAAATGAATAGGTAAATATCACTAATATTTTTAAATGAAACAAACCACTTACTTAAATGCTCGTTCTACCGGAATGTGTTCAATCGGAAAAAAAATTATGTCTTATCAAGAAAACGAAGATTCTACGCTTGAGTGTGCACCTCATGTGGCCACGAATTTTGTAAGTTCAAGGTTACAAAAGGAGATAGTAAGGAAAATAAAAAAATACTAAAATAAGGATATATTCGTTTTTGGAAAAGTCACTTGGCTTCGTTGAAGAAATTCATGCCAGGAATTTAGTCTAATTACAAGAATATAATTTTCCGCTTGGGATTTCGCATTGATGTTTCTTGTCATTTTTATATTTTCAATTATTCTTCAGCGATGCTTGCTAAGTGAGGTGCTTAAATGGCATTCTGAAGTACTGACACAAGTGACACCTCATGCATATCTTTTGGGGGCTTTTAATTAAAACGCACCTTAAATGAAATTAATAGAAAAAACTAAGTACTCCCAACTCCCAAAGATGTGTCTATTTGAATTTTTTTTAAATCAACATAGAAAGTTACAAGACTGATTTGAACTTAGTTGAAATAAAGAAGTTATTAGATTGGTGGGCCAAATCTAGGCACCTTAAAGGGAATAACGAACGCACTTTCTAAACGCCAAGGACTTGCTTAAATAACCAAAATTACGATAAGCTTTTGAGTCTTAGTAACTATTAATTGCATAACTGACGAAATACTTCGACTGCTGAGAAAAATGTGTCAACAAAGAAACAAGTTCATTTTGTGCAAAATTTCCTTATGGACTACCATCAGCTTTCGGCCATAGAGAATCTGCGTGAATAGGTGAATATAATTGGGGAAAATGCATTGAATAACCGAGCTCTATGGGTGAATTTTTTGTCTCCCGTCATAGGCTTGAGTGCCATACGATAAAGTACCTGAGAGCGCACTGTCCGATTTGTGAGCCAATGGAATCAAAAAACCCAACTCTTTGTCAACTAATGCATTAGATGTCGCCGTCGATGATGGATGCATCGAGTTTACTCATGAAGCATTTGTTTGAATGTGGCTGTCTTTGTGTGCGTCCAGCTGGTTTCCGGCTGTAAACAACAGTTTTGCGTTTTAAGATTAAAAAAAAACATCAGCTTCATTCTATGAACCTAAATAAGCCGTTTCTATGTATTCTGCTGTTTGTTGCAAAATAGTCAGCAACCAGTTCAATTCTCTGTTAAAAAGAGAAAGTACTGAGTTAAGAAAACACCAAATGGCAACTTGGAGCTTTAGAAGCCACAAAAGCAGATTATTCTTCATATCAATTTCTGTCTATGTATAAAATCGAAGTCTAATATACGTGTATAGGGCAATATTTTTTTTCACAGCAATATTGAAACCCGATTAAGAAAAAAACTTTTATGTACTTCTAACTGTATTGCGGTGTTCCTGAGCAACATCTTTTGTCACGATTCGTGCTCCTAGCGAGGTGATGACATTGTTCACTGGATTGTACTTGAACTTGGAAACCTGACGACTCGAGATTTCGCTGACCTACACGTCTCCCCAATTAGCACATAATGAACAGATGGGGGACCATTAAAATTCTCTGTGTTGGAGGGTAGGATGGTTTGCGTAAGGGTACCAGACCTGTCGCCGCTAAAAGTTCAATGCCATTTTGCACAAAGGGATACATAACCTGAGCCAAGGTGCTTTAATCAATTAGAAATTCTTGATTTTGCCTAAGGAGAATCTTCTTTCTAGGTAATTTTGCTCCTTAACCACCGATATATTTGTTAAATAGGGCTACTACACACCATGAAATGTAAATAGATGTTGCAGGGCTTGGTAGGCTTCGCCACTGTAAAGATTATCAAATTGCGGCCTTGCAGCAGCATCTTTTCAAAATTTATTAACGCATGACATTGTTTTTAAGTTAGGTTGGTTATATATTTTAGAAGGGAGCGCTATTTTTAGGCTTTTCAAACCAAACACTTTTTTAAGTCGGTGTGAGTGAGTCCAAGTTAGTTAATGTTTTCTCACTACAGACGTACACAAAAAAATTCACCTGTGCACAGCAGTTATAATTTAGTTTTGCTAACTGTTTGCACAAAGTCATTTTTGCGTCGAGTTAAGATTCCTTACCTCGAATTATTTCTTTTTTAAGTTAAGAAACGTTTACCTATAAGTTAAGCAGCTTAAAAAGGTGGTGAGACATGGTGTTGCGAGAAATAAGACTAAAATAACAAAGAAGCAGAAGTGTATTAAGTCGTGAAAAGAGGTGTGTTTGCACTGAATAACAAGTGCATTTAAATAGCTTTGCTAAATATCGATCCTTGAACGAACACAGTTACTTGAAGTGCATTCACGTAAACCAATTGAATCATGTGTTGTGAATCGTGTTTATTCAACATCTTAATCCGATCGCTTCGCCTCCGATACAAGGCTCCCCTTCTCGCAGCATGGCGACAGCCGCGCAAATCCTCAACCCCCCTTTCATTCACACGTATATGTATCTTGGATTAACCTCACACCTAGATCTCGATGTTAGCGCATCTATGACTCACGCATCCGAGGCATAAATACACGCGCGCAAACCCGACACAACGACACCGATTCTGGTTGAGCTCTGAAGTAAACGGTTGTCCCGTCCTCTCCGGTCTTCTTCTTCATCGCGGGCATCAGGCAATTGTAATCGGGCCAGGGTTAATTCAGTGGCCCCGGCGTGGTTCTGGACCACATGCTGGGGCCCACAATACATGTTTGATCACGCCTGCAAACTGTGCTCGCTTGCTGCTCACCACAAAAAAAACTAATTGCCGAATCAATCCATGCATTCTGAGAACAAAAAGAGGTTTTCATTTTGTACATGCATTATTTCTTTGCTTTTCTTTAGTTTTTATTTTTCAAGATTTTTGATTTAAAAATGGCGACGCCCAATTTTAGGAAGCTTTATGTTTGTATTTCTCATTTACGAAAAGCCCTTTGTGTGCACTGTT